AGCTTGTCTCTCTGGGCGTTCCTCTTGCTCCTGTTCTTCGACACAGGATCTGGATCATTATCGGACTCAGAAGATGATGATGCGATATATGCCTTGAAGTCGGCTTCTTCGATCTCTTTTTTGGTTAGTGATCGTCTAGTAATGTGATTACGCTCCGGATCATCATCGTCCCAAGTGAGCTTGACTTTTGAATGACGGAGAGCCTAGAGTGCAAAATGGGTGAGAAATAAAGAATAACAATGAAATTCCCTACATCTGTCACGAACTCTACTGCTCGATACCGTGTTCCAGGATCATCTATTGCCTCATCGCTGTACGTGGATCCGGTTAGACGGATGTCTAAAAATAATGTCAAACTGGACTCGCCGATATTCTTCATCGAATGCCATCTCATCGGGCACAAAGCTGAGATCGAACACGTTTGCTGAACGCTCAAGCTCGGTACCTTCGAGTTCGTTGTAGATGTGTACAGCAGCTTCAGCGGTATCACATTCAACAATTGCGTAGTAATACCTTTGATTGAGCATTTCGTTGAACATCGCGCCAAAAATATTTAAGGATGTAGCGCACCGTAATCTCTCCAACTGATACTTTCTCAAAGCATCTTCGTCGTAGTCCGCTCCGTCTCCGGTTTCGTGGATGGTCCGTTCATTGACATCGTCTTCGTTTTCTACTTTCTTTTTGAATACCTCTACAGGCGGTCCCTCCTTTTCCTCCCTTGCGATGCGCTCTTTCCCAAACTCACTTGGATAAACGCGGATACTCAGCACCTTTCCTCTTGCGACCGTTGCCTTTACGCCTTTCGTGTTCTTGAGAGACTTTTCATCCTTGGGTGGCACTGGCACAGACGCCGGAAGGGTAGCAGGCGCAACCGGCGAGACAAGCGACGAGAATATTTTGTAAAGATGTGCTGCACGGACATGGTCCCAATCAAGATTAACAACAGCTAGTCTTCTGGTCTTCTCTGTAGCTTCTTTACTGTTGTCCTCCGGGGCTGTCCTTGCATATGCAGCAGCCTGTGCGTCCAAGTCGGCAAAGGTGCTCTCATCAAGATCGATCTCGCCTTCTTCATCGAGGTCCCTGCCTAATGTAACAAATCCAGGATCATCGCTCTCATCGTCAGAGTCACCTGCACTCTGACTTTCCGCCTCTGATTCGGAGGATTCCATGAGGACGCCACCACGAGCATAGTCAGGTATCGTGGAGGTTGGAGCCTCTGCCTCCTCATCTTCCTCATGTTCCAGCCGATAAAACCGCCTGAGGTTGTCCTTTTCATGAGTTTCAGAAATTTTACGACCAAATTTATCCACTCGGCCTGTAGCCACAATACGAGGTGAGAGGCATCAGACGATAGAGTTTGAGGCGCACCTAGTTTTTCCTTTCCTTTGCCTTTTTGTTTCAATGTCTTTTTTCCCGCCTTGTCTTCGTCAAAAATTCCTTTGAAACGCTCGTCAACTACAACTTTTGAATTGTGTTTCTTGGGGCGTCGGAAACGGGGGTCAGTCTTCAACCGCGCAAATCGTGGGTCAGACATGGTACGTCGATCTGTCAGCGACTAGACAAGCCACAGACGATAAGCCGATGAGTGCTACTTATTGTCGCGGATGGCAGTTAACTTGAGTGTTTTAGTGTGGCCAGCGCGATGATTCGGAATAGATTCGAAGGTCGTGTTAGTAGTACTAGGTCAAATGTGCACGTGCAACCTTTGTACACCATGAAGCGGTTTGGTAACCACAACAGAGTCAAAATCTGTTTCTCTTGGGCTGGCAGGTTTTCTATCGGAAGATTCGGAATACACCTTGACATTCACTCATGGACGGTATCGTCGGAGGTTCACCTTAACTGGTCTTAGCCAACGTGGTTACCACAACAGAATTAAAATCTGTTTCTCTTGGACTACGCAAGGCGACTTGATTATTTTCTTCTATCATAATACACCTTCACTTGTGACGTACGTTGACTCATTGATGATTTCCTTGGAGGTTTATGCAACCTCAGTACACGGTGGTCCCAGCCAAGTGGTTACGCAAACAGAATCAAAATCTGTTTCTCTTGGAGTTGATTCGAAACCTACTGACAACATTTTTGCGGTGTATAGATCCGCGTCGGAGGTCCATCTTAACTAGGCCCAGTCATCGCGCCGAAACCTCCTTTTTATGTGATAGTCTGTCCATGAAAAGGAATTAAGCTTCACACCTTGCGAAGGTTGTCTCAGAAACATAAGACATATCCCTGAGGTGTACAGTGCGTGCCAACCCAGATTCTCGACAGAGTCGGATTCACCACCACCGAACGAACAATGTTAATAGGGCCGAAGCTCGGCCAGAAGAATGCACGCAAGCTAAGGACAGAGTGAGTCTGGCAATCACGAAATCTCTGATGTGTGTAGTTTGCGTGCGCTCCTATTACATCTAATTAGGAACCTCACCGAAGCGCACAGCTCATCCGGCGCGTCGACGCGCGCATCCCGGTACCACTTTTATCTATATCCCTCCTATTACCATTCCCATCGCCTGCAATCCTAGGCAAACTCGGTGATTTGCGAGCTCCGAAAGCTGTATGGAGCATGACGAGCGGAATTGGAGTGTGGGCCAAATCCCAACCAAAGATTGCAGACGCAGGCGGGAAGTGGACAGTAGTCGTCTCACGCCCAGGGTCCGGGAGTTCTTCGCCTGCGTCTAGTGCGTCGTCGAGCTCGGGAGAGACTCAAGTTGGTACTGCTAATTTGAGTTTCAAGTCGAGTGTTGGAGGGTGAGTGTCGTCTTCTGTGCAACGCACGAGGGAGGTGGCTAGTCTGGAAGTAGGTTGGGAGGAAGAAATGGTGCCAGATGATTGGGAGGATGATGTGTAGAGTCGGTTAGTTGGGAGCTTGACATATACCGGCGATAATGGGAAACATTAATAGATATAACTAGATCTATATACTAATGTTTCCCATCATCGCCAGTGCACGCGTCGAGCAGCCACGTGGCTTGGATAACCGCCAATTGGAGGTCAGTTTCAAGAATATATATGGGTTTGATCTAGCGGAGTAGGGAGATCAGAGTAGCTGCATGACATTGATGTTAGGAAGGACAGTTGCCTTTACAGAATTTGACGAGCCTACGGAGATGTCTACGTAATATTGGTATCACTGCGTCTGCTCTTGCTTCTACTACCGTTGGCAGGATTGAAGACCCGCTTCCACACTATTTGTGAGCGTGCGATTGGAACGAATATTTGACAAGGTTCCCAGCTGCAGCGTCGTTGCGATCTTGCAAAACGTAGTTGAGTGCGGAGGTGGTTCAGGTGAACAAATCGTACCATGAGCGGTAACAGGTATAGGCAGTGTTCTGCAGGTAATGCCAACAGATGGTGCCAATAGAATGTCAAAGAAGTGTCGGAGTTTCGAAGAGCACAAACGTCACCGCTCGGAACTACCTCTTGACAGAAATTTGTAGCAAGACAGTTCTGCGTCATCTCCATACCCTTCTCGATCATGGCTTCGATCTCATCCATATCTAGTGATTTGGAAACAATGTCTGCAGTGAAGAAATCAATAAGGCGACCTAATGAGTGGCTACAGATACTTACACCACGTGCCAGCAATTCATCGTTATCATCATCGACGTTGATCAGCTCATCCCACCGGACCCAAACATAGAATTAAACAGAGGGGAGGTGAGACCATGTATGACCTGCGACCACGATGTGTTCATCGTGAGATCGTGCTGGATTCCCTTGAAGCGAATGAAATGAAGAGGGTAAACGAGCCATCGGCTAAGACCAGACCTCCCAGAAAATCATCCATGAGTCAATGTCAAGGTGTGTTCCGATGGGGAAAAAAATCCTGTCGTTCCGTAGGTTTCGAACCTGCGCAGTTCAGGAGAAACAGATTTTGATTCTGTTGTGGTGATCACTTGGCTAAGAGCAGTTAGCTGAAGATCCGACGAAAACATCCATGAGTGAATGTCAAGGTGTGTTCTGATAGAGAAAAAAACCTTGTCATTGTGTGGGCATGTCTGACAGATTTTGATTCTGTTGTGACAACCACCTGGCTATAAGACCAGTTGAGCTCCAAGGAAACCATCCATGAGTGCTCAATGAATCTTCAAGGCGTGTTCCGATAGAAAAAAAACTGATCATCGGCAGGTTTCGAACCCGCGCTGACACTATTAATCCAAGAGACAGATTTAGATTCTGTTGTGGTACACTTCGGCGAGCAATCATGATGTGAACCTCTGAAGAAATCATCCATGAGCGAATCGTGTTCTCAAAGAACAAAAACTGGCTGTGTGGCAAGTTTCGAACCTGCACGTGTGCACAGTCAACGAGCAACAGATTTTGAGTCTGTTGTGATGACCACTTGGCTAAAACCATTTAGATGAAGCTTCGACGAAACCATAAAGTCCATGGGCGAATGAGGTATGTTAGAGAAAAACCACGCATCGGGCAGGTTTCGAACCTGTGCAGTTCAAGAGAAACAGATTTTGACTCTGTTGAGGTAATCACTTTGGCCAGAACGCTTCGTGAGTCGGGATGAACCTCCGAAGCACTGTCCATGAGTGAATGTCAAGGTGTGATAAGACATTTGTCGGCAGTATGCATGTTTTGAATCTATATCACCCACAGTAGAATCACATAGGATTAGCAGACATTTGCCAACGCAGAATGAAATAAAAAGACGTGACTAGTTCGATGGACACATAACATACCAGGAATAGTTATGTAATAAGCCGCCATTATGTTGCTAATAGCTATTAATTCTCACGGGGGGATGTGACACGGTAAGTAATTCGAATGTCCCCGCACCCGCACGGGCCATTGCATAGCACCGATACACCAAAGATACGATGCATATTTAGCAAAGCACGATATTGTAGGTAGTGTCCCCCATAGGGCTCCACTCCACAGGACAATAAACAAGGATCCAAAAGAAGACAAAAAGTAATTTGGATCTTTAGCTTTACTTTAACGTTAACCCTAGCTAATTTTCAACTGCGGCCATGTTTAATTATATGCATCTATTTCGCGGACACGTCGAGCTCATGTTCTCCTCACAACCACCGGATACAGAACTGATCAAAACACCTACACAAATCGAGTAATCTGATAGAATATCAAACGAGAACCTCCATCCAACCCCATTCCAACACCCTGAACAAAGCCACATCACCAGCTCTTGCAGGATCAACTCCAACTACATCCACCCACCGAGCAACATCTTTCTCTGCTTGCATTTGTGCATTGGCCCAATTTGCTAAGTGCTCCTTACAGATACCTTTGAATAGCATACATATGCGAGTCACGACGTCAGGCTGCGGAGAAATGCATAAAGAAGCGGCGCGTTCGTATGCCGCTTGAGGAAAAATCGGAGGGCAATAAATTCGTGTTTAAGAATAGAAGGTAGCCAATAGTTTTAGTGACGTGTTTATGATTTGATAGCCTGAGGTAGCGCATATGTACGCACGTTATGAATGATGTTCTAGCTTCGGTGTGAAGTCCCAGAACCCTGAGTGATTTATCGAGGTAAATTGTTGCTTTGTTCACTGGAATGACGATTGAATCCATATCATCGAGGCTGCTGGGTATCGGATTGAATGTATCCACTGGTTGCAGTTTGGATGCCGGCGACCGGGGAAATGCTGGCACGTTTGTCCTGCGAAGAGTAATACAAGTTAGGAGAGTGATTTCTGTATCATCAGGGGACTTACTCCGCCTAGGGAGAGCTCGACAGAAGCATTGATATCAAAGAGTGAGTATAGATAAATGACTGGCTTTTTAGCACGCGAGCTCGAATACGGATAAAATAGAATATTGATGCAGTCACCATCCTTGATGTTGTACGAATCGATACTTCGGTTCGTGCGCATGATTACCCCACCCAAAAATACTTGGACATGGGTGTGACTCAATGCCTGCTTGGCATCAGCAATAAGCTTGTCCACCCGCATTTCCCTCGAGATTTTAACAGTTTGAATCTCGCCAGATGGAAGAACAACTTTGATTGTGACTTTATCGTCATTCCCGCTATGTTTTCTCAACTTCAGTACTGAAAACACTTGTAGAATATTTGGGGTGCGTACGAGATGTCCTGTTCGTTAACCTGACTTAACGCCGATGTCATTTCCGCACGCCGAGTCACCTCAACCACGTTAAATAAGTCAATGACGTCGTCCCATATTTCAGCAGAGATGTCCACATAGTGGCCATCGCAAGCATCGAGTTGATTGGTCTGCAATGTGACCACATCTTTCGGGGTCCTTGGGAAATGTTTTCAGGCAGAGTCAAGCATAAACTTATGACATCTGCTATGAGCTATTAAAGATTTAAATAGTTATTCCACTCACATTGTATGACCTTTGCCGTTTAACCATGACTCGTTTTTGACCTTGTTTCAGAACAATACATGGCAAAATTTGTTTCTCTTCAGCCCGAGTCTTCGGACTAGAAACAGACATTTGGAGGCACGATGTTCGAAGCTTTCAAGTGGTGAGTGACGACACTACCTATGAGCTGGCACCGATCCCTTAATAACAGCAGGCGGCTCGGTAGCTATTGCATCTACCACGTCATGCTATGTTGCTGCGCATTTTTTGCTGCTGGTCTGTGGCGCATCTCTCTCTTTTGCATATGTGCATGAGTTGTATTGGGCAAATTAATTGACATGCTCGGCGAGCTCTGTCCCGACATCGAATGTAAACTCAGGTGTAGTACTACATGACAGGGAACAGAGGATAGCATGGTTTGGCGTCGGGAGGGCATGAGGGAAGTGATTGTGCATCAGCCAGGGGATGCCAGATGCAGGTGACATCGCAAGGTCCGGGGATCGAATGAGGGTGCTGGGCTCAGGTAGGAGCGCTAAAGGGGGGGCGGGATCGAGCACAATGACCAAGGTAGTAGAAGCTCGGCATAGCTGGGAGGGCGCGGTTAGGTGAAGAGATAGCCTGAATGAGGGAGGGCGCAGTTGGAGTAGGCGTAGTACCAGAAGTGCATGGCATGATTGGGTGTAGCTGGGTGGTAAAAGTGTGCTGGGGACCAGGAGGGAGCCTGAGAACTGAGATAGCACAGTTGGGTGCAGTTTGATTGTGGGAGGTTTACCTGGGCACTGGAAGGATGCTGGAAGCACTCCTGGGTAAAACGAGGGTGCTGGATGGTGCTGGAGGGCTGCAAGGGATATCATAGAGGGTGCGGTTGGGCAAAATGTGCTCGAAGATGTTGGGTATGGTGGCGATGAAGGTCAGCACCTACAACAACTAGGCGAGTCACGGGAGCGATGGCATGGAGGAGGGTCGGAGGAGGGCCGCTGTTAGAATGAACTTTGGCAGGATTGCAAACGCACCTTCACTACCGACTTCGCAGCGCACTAGTATAGGACCTGTCTTGCGGTTCTACGGCGCTGTATGCTTGTTTCCTAACTGTCTTAGTAGAACTTGCTTGGGCATTCAGTGTCGAGTGTTTATGCTACGGGAGTTAGTGGCGGCAGCCTGGGACCCGGAGTTTCAACGAGCTCTCCTCCTCTCACCATCATCAGTGCATTACTACAGGCACCTGCCTATCTGGAATCCCAGTGACTCCAACTTGGTGCGTGTTTTGTTTGTGTTATAGACTTCGGCAAGCGAGCAAAGTTGCTAAAACCGCTTTATAATAATAGTATTATGATAAGTCGGGCGTTCTTAACGAGTCTTACTTATATTTCCTTCTGCCGCCATGCCACCCCCGCCAGTGTGGCCACCTATTACTAGAAAGACTCTTGCAGTGTTTTTTTTAGCTTGTCGAGCTCAAGCGCAAATTATCCCCAACTGTTGCTGTCGAGGCATCTAGTATCTGACCCAGGGTACGCACCAACCTCTTCAATGCAGCCATAGAACGCGCCTACCATTCTTTCAGAATACGGACACTCAAAATAGAATGTATATTGTCCGAGTCAAACCCGCTCAACTCGATATTTGTTGCAACCCTATGATAGAAATACCCTCCCCAAAGTTTGTGGCATTATTTGACAGTCGAGACATACAATGAGTGAGGCCGAGCTGTTGGATATAATGGGAACGACCGAGACACTATTAAGCAGGGCGCCATTAGGGTTGTACCGTCCACGAACTGCAGTCAGAAGGCGCAGATTGGTGTCGAATCGAAGCCGATACTCTGAGGCTAGCGCAGAGCGCAGTGAGATGCCGTGTATGAAGCCGATGGATGGCCAATACCTCCCTCTGCAAGGAAGCCCACTTCTCAAGATTTGCCACGTCGACCACATCTACTCCCAAGACTACGTGATTGGCCAAAGTGACGATGCATAAGCAGCTGAAGATACTACTCCAACAAGGGCATATCTGCGAGTACTTCGCTCTTAAAAATCAGTTCCTAGTATCAGCAGTGATCCTCGCATCAGTGGCATATTATCGAGTCACAGTCCTGGTGATTCGGGAGTGTCATATGCAAGAAGGCTAGACAGATGCCAATTTGCCGGTTTGGAAAAAGTGGTCATGGGAGGCAGAGACAGGAGGGCCAGCGCATTACGGACAAGCAGATTAAATATATAATTTTTCACTTATGACCATAGCCTCTGGGCGCATGTGACATGGAGGTGGTCGTGATGGAAGAGCGGTCGGAGTGCCATGCAATATTTATGTGTATCCGGTGCACCGCGGTCCGTTGATTTGCCTTGAACACAGGGCGGAAATATCGAAAGTGCACACGTCAGGATGGTGATTCCTTGAAGCTTGAAGCGTAACCTTGAAGTTTGGTCGGCCAATTGAACTCTTCCATCATGTGATCACGATGCAGTACTTAATAGGTACCGCACGCACCGCATTACAACCGTTTTACCGTTGAATTTCTCCGGGCTCTCACATAAGTATTTATTGTTCTGGACACTATGTTGGCAGGAACTTACTGTAAATGTGAACCTATTGCAGATTCGAAGAAATAAGAAATCAAGTGTATGATAATGACAAGAGGGTGCAAGTAGGGATGTGGGTGCCATCATTGGAACGAGGCTGCAGGGAAGTATATCAATGCATAAGCTTATGCATGCTGACCCGAAAGCAGAGATAGAAGATCCAAGTATTATTATTAATGGATCTATCATCACATGAAATGATGAATAACCCCGAAGCACCTGGTGAGTGATACATCGTGTATTTCGGTTGCCTCGGACCTGCTCTCGCAATTGAGGTTTATAATGTTTATCACGTCGCGCCATCTTCATGACCCCAGTCAAAGATGTTTATCACTGCGCGATCTGTGGGGTTGAAACTGTCTACTAGAGCCAATCTATTGGTCGTATCGCAGCTTTTGCTTGCGCTAGAAGCATTGTCTGCACCGGCAGCCACTGTATCTGCACCCATCGTCAACTTGGGTTATGTCCAATACCAGGGATCGGTTGACACAGCGACAAATATCACCAGCTTCCTTGGAATACGCTACGCTGCTCCTCCAGTTGGTGCGTCTAGTTCCGTTTGTTGCACACTCTCTCAGCTCATGCACCAAGCGCATAGGTGACTTAAGATGGGCAGCTCCGCAGTCTCCATTGGGCGTCTCTGGAGTTGTTGAACAAGCTACCACGCAATCAAACGAATGCTATCAAGCGCCCGTAGGCAACTCTTCAACGAATCCGTTTGAAAGCACCTCTATGAGGAAAAGGGCCATCAGTCAATCTGAAGACTGTTTATTCTTGAAGTAAGCCCTGTCATGGGACGATGGTGTTGACATTGACAATCAGTGGTTTCATCTCGTAGTGTATACACTCCTGGAAGTGAAGTGGTAGCCACTCCGGGAGGAGGGCTCCCAGTTGTCGTTTGGATTCATGGAGGAGGGTACATTGCAGGAGCTGCAAGCGAATTCAATGGCGCAGATCTAATTATAGACTCGAATCACGGTGTCATCATTGTCTTAGTTCAGTACCGCCTCGGTTTATTCGGTATGTTTTGCTGTTCCTCTTAGTCTCAAATGCATACTAAGGTGTATACACTACCGATTAGGTTTTCTTCCTGGGGAAGCGGTCAAGGAAGGGGGCGCACTTAATGCTGGACTACGTACGTGATTACCATGGTCTGGCAGTCATTCAGATTCAGCTGAACTGTTCTAAGTCGACCAGAATTATGCGTTACAGTGGGTGCAGACCTACGTGAGCAGAACTCTTTACTTGCGTAGTGTACCCCAGCTGATAGGAAGCTCACCCGGATAGATAAGTAGCTTTGGCGGTGACCCCACAAAGGTCACAATTTGGGGAGAGTCTGCTGGTGAGCTGCGCTAGGTACCCTTTGTCATCATCGTCTTTATTTACTACTTTGTTTCAGGTGCCGGTTCAGTGCTACAGCATATTGTTGCCCATGGAGGAAACACGCAGCCTCCCCTCTTCAAGACCGCCATGACGAGTTCTACATTCTTGCCATCCCAATACAACTATAATGACCAGATTCCGGAGGTGATTCTTGTTTCTGAGGATGCTGTCCACAGGGTCCTGAATACCACTACCAGATGCTGTATAGTGAGGTCGTCGATGGAACAAAGTAAATCCTTTGAAAACCCGCCATTCCGCATCTAATTTCTCAACTTCCAGCTGTACCTCAAGTTCGGATACCCTCTCTTGTTTGCGCGCTGCAGACGTCAGTACGCTGCAGACCTTGAACTATAACATCAACGTCAACGGGTTCTTTGGCGTGTTCGTATTCGTCCCTGTTGTGGATGGCACTTTCATCTTGGAGAGGCCTACTGTGACGATAAGGAAGGGTCGTTTGAATGGCGTACGATCCATGAATGCATTTATCTCCGAAACGAACTGAGACCCTTTCCCCTTAGGACTATCTCCTTTCTATGACCAATTCACATGAGGGGGACATTTTCGTCGACCAATCCACCACATTGGATATTGCAGATTATGTCAAGACGCTTTTCCCGAATTTCGGTTCTGCTCAGGTTGCTGAAGCGGCGACGCTGTACCAGAACTATGGAAGTAATGTCAACCAAGCAAATCTTGTGATGGGCGAATGTATGTGTATTTTTGAAGCGATGATCAATGTCCCTGATTTCATCGGTTGTTTTAGCAATATTCCTTTGCCCCACTTATTATCTCCTCTTAGAATTTGGAGAACGAGCTTGGAAAGTGAGTTCAAGGAAACTTGCAATTTATGTATACTCAATACAAGCAGGGCGAGTTTGCAATCCCGCCTGGCCTGCATGGAACCGATATTGCGTACTACTTCACCTCATATGAGTAAGTTGGGGTAATGGGTCAACCCTACTTCGATTATATTACTATTTCAGGGGTGGCCCTCCATACAACAATTCGCAGTACATCACTGCTTTCTCGAATTCGTTCATGGCTATGGCCATGTCTGAGACTCCTGACGACAGATACACCCCAGGAGATATCACACCTTCCTGGACACCTTGGCAATATGGTTTGACAGAGATGAAGTTCAACGAGACATCTGCGGGAGTACCCAACATTTACACTTTCAAGACTGATAGCGCCTTACTGGAGCGTTGCGCGTGAGTACCACATCCATGATGAGTCCAGATGCTGAGCTAAAGGCATGTAGATACTGGCTGAACGTATCAGCATATTCAGCGCAGTGAATGGAGGTTGAGCGCTGCTCTGGTATCTGCGAGTTGAATAGTCTTGTGATATGTTTGTTATCCCTATATCAGCTTGTCACAAATGCTCTGGTCGTAGGATGAGTATCCGGCAAGACTTTTATGTAAATAAAAATAACCATTGATTCGTATCAGTTGGAAATGGCCCTACCACCATCCTTAGTATACGTAGCCTGCTAGCGATATCAGATCTTTCAGTCTGAGTACACATCCACCGTCAGGCCTTCCCAGACGACCTACCACAATGGAGACGCATAATTCTTTTGTTTTGAGTGGGCGACGCGTTTGTTTGAGACACCCAATTGGCTGACTGCGCGAACGTTCAAGTTGGCGACGAACCTACCAAATTGATCATGACCCACTCACTGCCCTGCAGCATTTTCGGGGGTGATCGAGCTGCAAGGACCGTCAAGTAGCTAAGTTCTGCCCCGATATTTCACATCATCTCTGCCCATATCAGACTATTTGTTCGACTCACTGCCAGCGTCACGAATTATCATGCCTAAAGCCCTGGCGTGACAGTCCAACATCACCGCTAACATCAGTAGATGGAAGTGGACAGCAGTCGCCTCACTGCCCTGGGTCCGGGAGTTCTCGCCTGCGCCTGGTGCGTCATCGAGCTCGGGAGGGACTTAAATTGGTACTGCTACTTCGAGTTTGAAGCTGTGTTGGTGCGTGGGTGTCGTCTTCTGTGCATTGCGTGAGGGAGGCGGGTAGCCTGGAAATGGGTGGGGAGGAAGAAGCGGCGCCAGATGATTGGAAGATGACGTGTAGAGTCGGTTAATTGGGAGCTTGACACATACTGGCGATAATGGGAAACATTAGTAGATACAGCTAGACCTATATACTAATGTTTCCATCATCGTCAATGTCGAGCAGGCACATGGCTTGGATAACCGCCAATTGGAGGTCAGTTTCAAGAATGTATACGAGTTTGATCTGGCAGGGTAGAGAGATGAGAGTAGCTGCATGACTTTGACGTTGGGAAGGACAGTTGCCCTTACAGAATTTGACGAGCCTACGGAGATGTCTACGAAATATTGGTATCACAGCGTGTGAAATTAGTAGGGTTCTTGCTTCTACTACCGTCAGGATTGCAATATTGAAGCTTGGCGTGCGGTTGGAACGAATATCTGACGGGGTCCAGAACTGCAGCGCCATTGCAATCTTGCACGGCATTTTTGACAAATTTTGATTCTGTTGTGGCAACCGCCTGACTAAAAGACCAGTTAAGATGGACCTCCAAGGAAACTATTGACGAGTGAATCTTCGAGGCATGTTCAGATAGAAAAAAAAATCTTATTATCGGCAAGTTTCGAACCCGCGCTGGTACAATCGAAGAGACAGATTTTGATTCTGTTGTGGTAACCACTTGACCAGGACAAAGTTGAAATGTTGAACGTTAAACCTTAAAGGAAATCATCCATGAGCAAATCTTTAGCGCATGTTCCGATGTATAAAAAAACCGTTTGTTCGGCAAGTTTCGAACTTGCACAGTGCACAGTCCAAGAGAAACAGATTTTGATTCTGTTGTGATAGCCGCTTGGCTAAGACCATTTGGAAGAACTTCCGACGCAACCATTCATGAGCAAATGTCAAGGTGTGTTCCGAGAACAAAACAACCTGGTGGCAGGTTTCGAACCTGTGCAATCCAAGAGAAACATATTTCAATTCTGTCAACATGTGGTAATCACTTTGGCCAGAACGCTTCGTAAGTTGAGATGAGCCTCCGAAGAACTGTCCATGAGTGAATGTCAAGGTATGATAAGATTTGTCGGCAGCATGCAGGTTTCGAATCTGCACCACGGTGCCACCACCCAATATTTCTAATCTTTCCTGGGCCCTGATATCATTTTGCGCTCTAGCGGAAACGTTCTCCTTCCTTTGTAGTTACCGTCAATAGTAGCGATGCTGGTTAGATAGCACACAATATGCCAGTGGTTATCTTTTCCCTTCGATCCATGTCCCATGTTCCGTAAAATCGGGGGAGGTCGGTATGTGGTTAAGTTCCATCGACCCAAGTCACGGTGGCACACAGTTTCGCTAGTGATCCAGGTCTCCACTGATTACTGGTATTCGTATATCTGTATGATTGCGTTATCGAGAACCATATCGGCGACCATCTAACAAAGGTCAATAGAGCTTTCTTCATCTTGACCGCGCAAGTCTGGATCTATTTCCGAAGGCACAAAATTCGATCTTAAGAAAACACAGTGAGCGAACTTCCCGTACGAAATCGTGTCGTATATTAGCTGACAATGCAGAACAGGTTGCCTTCATCTGGTTCATGACTTATTGCAACCCTGTCAACCAACGGCGTCAGGTGAAGTCACTAATGAGGACCATGCTATGATATCGCACGTAAAGCACTGTTCTGCGTCGCTGCCGATAAATAGACCGTGAACACCGTACAAGCAAATCGTACCAAAATCCAGACGAGATTAAGAAGGCTGCAGGTAAAATCACCATGAATTACGAGCACCACCTTGCGAACCAGGCCCTGCCACCCATTGACAACTGTGTGAACCTATTGAAGGGACAGACAGGGCACGGTTGGCTGAACGTCTCGGTGAACGTGGAATCTTCGTAACCTTGTACGCTGCATCTGTATATCAACTATCATGTTTAAACGCAGATTTATCACAACTAAACTCTGTGGGTGTGCGTAGATAGACGATCAGTGTCTTCTGCTGGTATGGGAAGGAGTGCTGTCCGGAATGTTGGATACTTGTAACACCTAGCGGTAAACAGCACAACAGTGTGCTGAACGGGGCTGAGAAGATAAAAAGTGATTGATTTGGACCAGTAACAAGGCAAGATCTACAGCAACAAGAAACTCGCCGGCATTATCGGTGTAAGTAAGGTTTTTAAGTTCGCCATCGCTTGAAAGTCGAGAGTAAGATTGCGTGTCCAAAACAATTGAGCTCTAACGAAAATTTATTATTCAATTCGGCGAGGATTTTTTTATATGACTGGAAGTCATTCTGCTTCATAGAATTTCAGCAAAGGTGGGGGCAAGATGCCTTTTGCAACCAGGGCCGATTTTCACTCTAGATTAGACTGTGCGAATCAAGTCGCTTAAACGAAAACACGGTCACGAACCTGCTGCGTTTTGTGTGCCTGAATCCAAGCCCTGCCCGCCAGTTGGGGGGAACTAGGTTTTGCGTGTGGAATCTGGAATTGTGCATGTAAAGATACTGGACAAGAAGACAACAGCAGAACTGACCGGTGACCGCCCGCAAGAAAGGCACCATCATGACTAAGTGTCTTCACCGTCCCTATTGTAGGCCTAAAGAAGTTCTAAACATGTGGGAAAATCCAGAATTTGTCCTGGCGGCGGCCAGAGTAGATATACTATCTTGACTTCTGATGGTTCTCTGGAACGATCATGTCAGGCGGGGTTCACTTTCACGACGAGAAAACGTACCCTGCAGTTTGGGAAGCCTTGGGAGCGCCAATTCATCTAGGAGAGTGACAAGAGAATTAGATAGCACAACCATGTATACATTCAATGTACTTACACTTCACGCCACGGAGAGATCAGTCACTCAATGGACTGCGCGTATTCCCTCACGCTGAGGTGTTTGCGAGTCCAGGTGTTGCAGACTAGTTAGTATTGTCCGACATAGGGTACGTTACCTCAATGGACAGAAATCGGAATGAGAAAAATACCACGTGTATTTGAGGGTGAACAATACCACTCCGGGAAAGGCCTTAAAAAAAAGAAAAAATTCGCGCCACTGCAACAATTTCCCCGTCTACATCTGAAAGAACGTCTCCCCCAGCAAAAGAAATGCAAAAATCAACCGCCAGTCCCTCAGCTGCCGTGCAATCAACAGGCAATGACTGCGTCGCCAGTCAACCCAACGACATAAAGCAAACGGCCGCCCAAACCCACACACTAACTTGTGGCAGGGCCGGATGTCCGGTCGTTATCGTTTACGACGTTGGGACTGACTGGCCCACGGTCAATTGCCTCGTCAATGACCACTCGCAGGTCTGTAAGGGCGGGCTCTATGTGCTCGCAAATTCACCTCCCCGTTCCGACGAACACGATCCACAATACGCGCTGAGCCCTCCGCAGCCCGTTCCAGAGAGCTCGGGTGCCAATAACGGAAATCGCGACAATGAAGTCATCGCGGGCAGTGGCCAACGGAGAAAAAAGGAAGACCAGAGAAAACAGGAGCTTGAGAATGACGAGTACACCGAAGATGTACAACCCACATCCGTCAGGTGCCGCGGATGTCAGAAGGCCATCAGCCTTGACAAGCGCTCCAGGTACTATCCTGGACTGTGGGTCAAGCACAGGGGCAAGTGTCCGGGCATCCTCAAGCTAGAGGTGAGCTAATCTCTCCTATGAACGGAACGAGTAACTAACCAAATTTATAGACAGATAGAGAACTAACCAGGAGAAGAGACTGGTCTTTTCCGTTAAATCCAGAACTGCGCCCGCAAGCCGCCTCCTTATTTGACGCGAGCGGAGAAAATTGGGAAGAGGGAGAGTCGGAAGATGATGAAGACGAGGACGGTGATGGGATTCAGCAGTAAGTCAGTCCTCGATGGGAGCAGATACTGTGATTTAACACGAACTTAGCGTTGAACGTGCGACTCTATAACGACTGCTAGGAAAGAGGTGAAAGGTGACGGGCGTACCGGTACGCCACTATGAAGGAATTCACGGAATTCATCTTAAATAATGTGGGTGAGTGTCAAAGGCGAAGATTCAGAGCGTGCTTATCAACCCTTTGCTCACTAGTATCAGACGTCCACGTCCCTTTGTTTACAAAACGTTGTTGCTTTCGTTTCAAAATACAATTTCCCTTTGATGTTCTCCAGGATTTCTGTGATGAGATCACTAGACAAACGAGTAGGCGTGGAAGATAATGATCCTTTGTGCACAATCAATGTCAAGCGCGGTATCATGATCGACATGGATATCACCGGTTTTGAGTGCTCGGAAGGAGCCGGCACCACGCGCACGTCTAGCTGGCATTCTTTGTCTTTGTGGTTGCTTTGTCTCTTCACCCGGACCGTACATCCGATCCCATTATTTGCAGTTTAACGTTCACATCACATTTTGTTGATCCATCGACAGCGGAATGCGATGTCCAGCCATCTATCATGACATGGTCATTCAACAGCCCACGCTCGGTCCCAACGCATTAACCTCACTGTTTTTGTATTGGACGAAGCGACAACCCCTCATTTCGTCAATCAACCGACGGCAGTCGACTTTCTGGTCGAACTCAGGTTGTGTTGTATTTGAGATATGCGGCCACGGCGCCAACTTGACTGATAGTTCTTCAAAGCTTCACGGTCTAGTCGTTGCTGTCGCAAGGTCTACACTTGAAAGATAAGTACATCTATTGCCTCCCGCCTGTCCCTTTGATATATCTCGCCCACGCCATATCATCGACCCCAACTCTACAACTGTCAAGTATACCGAGCGGCATGCTGCGTATGACGTCCATCAGAACTATCAGACTCCAATTGCAGTCTGCGGCGCTCCGTGACTGTGACGATGTTAACGATAGAGGCCCAGCTAAGCAGGTACCACGTTGTTCACGAAATGATACAGACGCAAATTGGTTCTGGATCACTGATCCTACGAAGTGCGACACCTTAACAGCTCCCGGATATGTGTTGCTGTCTACAGCCTCTGCGAGACATCTGCCTTAGTGATTTCGGGTATTTGGCGCCATGACGCCTTCTTAGGACAGCCATCGTCTTGATTATTTCTGGAGGGTTATGGCGACACAAGGCTATGCCACATGACTCACGCGTGATGATTTTGCGCCAAGACATCAATGAACGGAAAACCTCTGGGTGAAGCGAATACTAAAAATAAACACGACAAGACACATGGTTGCATGTGCGGTCTACGGAATGTGATCCATAATCATAAACAAGTCAGCTACACAGCCTTAGTCTCCCCTAGCTAGACCAAATAGAAGGGATACTCAACTCTGACTCAGAGTTGATAAATGCTCCAAGCCTCCTTGCGTCCGTAGGTCAGTTCTTTTAAGAACTAGTTTCTCTAAGTAGAGATTGTGGATGAAAGCTGAGACGGAGTTGTGCCCTGTAGTTCATTATGTCTTTACGCACCGCGCAGAAGACATCAATGATGACGCCCAGCCAGAAATTCGAATGATACACTCCCCCTTGATAGCATCTGCCAGACGGACAGTGACTTGTTCAAGTGACGGTTCGCTGCGGGCATGGAATTTGAAGAGCGGGAAACATATAAGAGAGGACTGACGGGACGGAGAACGTCTATACGCGCATTGGACCTGGCCCATAGCGTTGGAAGACGTCTGTCTGCTGTCGAGATGGTCGGTGAATGTTAAGCGCTGGATCTCACGTGCACGATCGAACTTCTTGGCCAGTGCATTCTAGGTATAAATCGACGTTATGGTAGCTGGTGATCGTGAGCGAGTAAAAATCGTATAAAGAGGTTTTCGGCCATGGCCCTCCGCGGATCCTGTCACTAGTACTAGATCTAGTACTAGTGCGAGTGAAGTAACAGGCACTGTATCGCTGACAAATGTTACAAAAATGGTTAACAAAGTTCCGAGCATAAGTAACTCCATTGCACTCTTAGATCTTGGTACTATAATAGGCTGAGCGCTACGCTCACATCCTCTTACGCTCTAGCTGAAACATTCACAGACCTTACATATCCGGTTACCGGTACTATTGGCGATGCTACTTTTCTTCCTTCGATCTACATCTCATCCTCTATATAAGCCCGATAATCAGAAAACGTCAGCAACTACATTCGCACCATGACCCAAGTCGCGGCGATGTACAGTTTCACTGGCGCAAACATGGCTTCCTTTATGACTGGTCTTGGCATATCATCTATGTATGATTGTGTTATCGAGAACCATGTCGATGGCAATATACTAACGAAGGCCGATAGAGTTTTCTTAATTTTGAGCGCACAAGTCTGGGTCTATTTCTGGAGACATAAAATCCGATCTCGGGAAAACAGGCAGAACAATGCTCTCGTACGAATTTACGTTGCATATCACAGACTGATCGCTGACAGTGTGGAACAGGTTATTTTCATCTGGTAAATATTATGCATGTTATGCATGCAGCAGTTGACGGAAAGATTGACGCTCGCGTTACAGGTTAATACAAGCCGCTCAAATGTGAGTCCCTATGGAAAATGTATGTACTGGCCACTGGAAGTCCTGCTAGGGTAATTACTACTCAGCTCTCGCGCATTCATACGATGGAGTTCGAGGATAAATCCCATTTCTTTGGTTTTATGTTGACGTTAGTACCGCCTGTGACTCGTTAAGGCGCTTTCTGACAGAACAACAGGGAATGGGGGATTTACATTGGAATAGGTGTAAGCGGGCTTCTCTTCCCCCGGTCTCGACCTAATTAAGCTCACTGTCGTTCCGCAGTCCTTGACCACGTCCCTTGTACATGGTGTTTTCATATGTAGGATTTTCAGACGTACGTGTCGCCAACTTACTACTATCATACTTCTTTCTGATGCGCGCGTGAAGTTGAGAAGAGTCTCTGTGGCAGACGGAGAATGTCATTCGTTTCGGTAGGCACTCCATTTGTCTGCTTCGGGAACAGCGACTAATTGCACTAATCAGATTGCATTTTTGGCCATGGAGCAAGGTGCGGTAGTTTACCTTGCAACGAATAATCGCTACTTAATCACGGAAAATAGTTTTTGGTCTTCTTAGTACAATCTGCCTGTAGGTCTAATTTCATCAGTATCACCCTGTCAGGCGTTTCTAAAATACGGGAAACAGCTTCAAACTACACGATCATCCTAACTACAGTGCCGTGGTTATTGTAAGTCTGTTCTACCTTTGATCATGATGCAACTCACAAGGATGAAGTGGTCTATTTTAATCTCGCTTGGTTGTTCAGCAATCAATGATGTTCTTATCGCTGGAACTTTGGCTTATATTCTCCACACACACAGGACTGTATCGCCAAGGTGATTAATTCGTTCGAGGATGAAATTAACCTCTGTAATTGACCATCTCGGTGTTCAGAACGAACCAAATGATCACGAAACTTGTCATATTCTGCTCGCAAACGGGTTTAATTACAACGCAAGTTCCTTGGTATTGACACATGATGGGTATGTACTCACTGCTTCCGGTGTAGCGTGACGGCATTCATCACTATGGGACTTGTGAGTGCTTCATCTCGCGCGTTAGCCATGGCTCTAACCAAGATGCAGTGGGCAGCTTGCCGTCTCGATATTAACCATCTATATATGTGTTTTCCTATTGGAGGCTGTGAGAGTCTTGTTGTCATCAACTCGAGCACACGGAATGTTCTGACGTCCTGGCTTGACAGTATATGCTACATGCCTTCTTGCCAAGTGAGTCGTTCTCAGTGGTAATAGAAGAGACTACTGATATCTTGTTCAGCTTCATCGCTCGGGAATCCTACCTGCAGCCACAGACAGTCCACCAAACCGAGAATTCTGAAATCAGTTTTGCACGTTTCACGCAGGCGATTCATGTAGGCTTACCAGACAATCACACCGGGCATCAGGAAACATTGGTAATGCAAGGAGGAACAAATTCCTCGAAAGATTCCTCGAAAGCGTCCTCTTGTTGAGTTGAGTCGCTATAATCCTTTGGGCATAATGCCGCCATCTCGGTGTTGTCGTAGTTAAGTTATCATCGTAAGCATGTATCGAGAAGCTGCTCAACATTCATCCATTGTAGTTACATTCATCGGCCGTAGTCAGACCGTTAGTAGAGGGAATACAGATAGTTTATTACCTGAGATGCCTCGTCCTTCTCTACCATGAGACTTACTGATGAAGATCTCTATTATAGCCTTGCTTTAACACAGCTTTTAAACTGCGGACATGTTTAATCATATACATCTATCTTGCAGACACGTCGAGCTCACGTTCTCCTCACGACTGTCGGATGCAGAACTGATGAAGACAACACGCGATAACACCTACATAAAATGAGTAATCTAATAGAATATCAAATGAGAACCTCCATCCCGCCCCATTCCAACACCCTGAACAAAGTCACATCACCAGCTCTTGTAGGATCAACTCCAACTACATCCACCCACCAAGCAACGTCTTTCTCTGCTTGCATTTGTGCATTGGCCCAATTTGCTAAGTGCTCCTTACAAATACCTTTGAATAGCATGCATATGCGAGTCACGACGTCAGGCTGCGGAGAAATGCATAAAGAAGCGGCGCGTTCGTATGCCGCTTGAGGGACGAATCGGAGGGCAATATATTCGTGCTTAAGGAAAGATGGTAACCAGTAGCTACCACGGCAATTTTAGTGACGTGTTTATGATTTGACAGCCTGAGGTTGCGCATATGTACGCACGTTATGAATGATGTTCTAGCTTCGGTGTGAAGTCCCAAAACCTTGAGTGATTTATCGAGGTAAACTGTTGCTTTGTCCACTGAAATGACGATTGAATCCATATCATCGAGGCTGCTGGATATTGGATTGAATGTATCCGCTGGTTGCGGTTTGGATGCCGGTGACCGGGGAAATGCTTGCACATTTGTCCTGCGAAGAGTAATACAAGTTAGGAGAGTGATTCCTGTATCATCAGGGGACTTACTCCGCCTCCCAGAACAGTACGACACATCTAAATCAGAATTACGTTCAGTCAGACTCCCATCTTGATGGGTGCGGACATTCCATTCTAGACGCTGCCCATAGTCTTCTGTGGTAACAACGGGATAGATGACAGAGAGGCTCCACTCAGGAATAAGGGAGAGCTTGACAGAAACATCGATATCGGAGGGCGAGAATAGATAAATGACTGGCTTTTTAACACGCGGACTTGAACACACAAAAAATTGAAGATTGATCGAGTCACCGTCCTTGATGTTGTACGAATCGATACTCCGGTTCGCATCCATTATTACCCCACCCAAAACTGCCTCAACAGGGGTGAAACTTAATGTCTGCCTAGCATCAGCAACGAGTTTGTTCACCCGCATTTCCCTCGATATTTTAGCAGTCTGAATCTCGCCAGATGGAAGAACAACTTTGATTGTGACCTTGTCATCGTTCCTGATATGTGGTCTCAACTTCAGTACTGAAAACACTTGTAGAATATTTGGGATACGTACGAACTGTCCTGTTCGTTAACCTGACTTGGCGCCGATTGATTGTCAGGCAACGAAATAGCACAACTTGAAGCATCAAGCGGCAGTGGGACGGGTGATGTCACTTCCCCACGCCGAGTCACCTCGATGACGCTAAGTAAGTCAACGACATCGTCCCATGTTTCGGCCACGATGTCCACATAGTGGCCATCACAAGCATCGAGTTGATTGGTCCGCAATGTGATCACATCTTTCGGGATCCTTGGGAAATGTTTGCAGGCAGAGTTAAGCATAAGCTTATGATAAGTATCTACTATGAGCGATTAAAGATTTGAATAGTCATTCCACTCACATTATATGACCTTTGTCGTTTAACCATGACTCGTTTTTGACCATGTTTCAGAACAATACATGGCAAAATTTGCTTCTCTTCAGTCTGAGTCTTCCTATTAGAAACAGACATTCAGAGATACGAAGTTTGAAGCTTTCAAGTAGCGGGTGACGACACTGTCTATGAGCTGGCACTAAATCCCTTAATAACAGCAGGCGGATCGGTAGCTATTGCATCCACCACGTCATGCTATGTTGCTGCACACTTTTTGCCGCTGGTCTGTGGCGCATCTCTCTCTTTCGCATACGTGCATGAGTAATATTGGGCAAATTAATTGACATGCTCGGCGAGTTCCGTCCCGACATTGAACGTAAACTCAGATATGGTGCTACGTGGCGGGGAGCGAAGGAGAACAAGGTTTGGAGCCGGGAGGGTGCATGAGGGAAGTGGTTGTGCATCAGCCAGAGGATGCTAGATGTAGGTGATATTGCGAGGTCCAGTGATCGCATGGGGGTGCTTGGCTCAGGTAGCAGCGTTAAAGGGGGGACGAGGGGGGATGGAGTCGGACACAATGAAGGTAGTAAGGGTTCAGCAAAACTGGGAGGGCATAGTTGGAGTAGGCGTGGTGCCAGATGGTATGGTTGGGTGTGGTTGGGTGGTAAAAGTGTGCTAGAGGCCAGCAGGAGCTTGAGAGCCGGGATGGCGCAGTTTGATGGTGGGAGGTGTACCTGGGTACTGGAAGGATGCTGGAAGCACTCCCGAGTAAAATGAGGGTGCTGGATGGTGCTGGAGGGCTGCAAGGGATATCATAGAGGGTGCGGTTGGGCAAAAGGTGCCAGAGGATGTTGGGTGTGGTGGCGATGAAAATCAGCACCTATAACAACTGGGCGAGTCACGGAAGCGATGGCATGGAGGAGGGCCGCTGTTAGAATGAACTTTGGCATGATCGCAAACTCACCTTTACTGCCGACCCCGCAGCGCACTCGTATAGGACCTGTCTTGCAGTTCCACGGCGCTGTACGCTTGTTTCCTAAATGTCTTAGTAGAGCTTGCTTAGGCATTCAGTGTTGAGTGTTTATGCTACAGGGTGCCGCGAGGAGTCAGTGGCGGCAGCCTGGGACCGGAGTTTCAATGAACTCTCCTCTCACCATCATCCTAGTGCATTACTACCGCTATCGACTGGCTCACTCGTCGTGCACCTGCCTACCTGGAATTCCTACATCCAGTGACTCCAACCTGGTGCGTGCTTTGTGTATTGAAGACTCCGGCAAGCGAGCAAAGTTGCTAAAACCACTTCATACTATGATGAGTCGGATGTTCTTAACGAGTCTTATGTACTTATATTTTCTTCTGTCGCCTTGAGAGTATGGTTACCTACTACTACAAAGACTTGTACCTGTTTGGGACAGTGTTTTTCAGCTTGTCCAGCTCAAGCGTGAATCATCCCCAACTGTCACGGTTGCTGTTGAGGCATCTAGTATCTGACCCAAGGTATGCATCGGCCTCTTCAATGCAGCTATGGAACACGCCTACCATTCTTTCAGAATACGGATACTCAAAATAGAACACATAAAGTCCGAGTCAGCCGCTTGAGACCCTTCCGAGTCATAACTTGAAGTGAGTGTCTCCTGTCATTGTATTAGGTAGCATACAAACGACATGTTTACATTTGCTGCTGCAGTATTGTCATCCGGCTCATCCCTACATTGAAGCACGGTGCTCCTGTGTCAATGAACTGCCTTGTGTGTCATGTTCCGACAGCTCAACATTTTGAACAGCAGAAACCCAAAACCTACAGCATTCTCTTGTGTGCTAAGTCTTATCGCGATGCTTACTGTTACAGTGTTACACTGCTGAGGGCTCGAGGCTTTGGATCCTGTAAGTCCCATTACTCTGGTTATCCCTATGGTCATGCACTCATTCACGTCTAGGTTGCCGACCGCGAACACGGTCGAAACTACCGCGAAGTTCCCCAGCAGCACGCCACATCAACCAGGCACTAGGTATCATCAGCAGGGGCAGGACAGAGGAGCTGGTGCGAATGAGTGTAAGTACGGGCATGCAGCCCATTTTATAGCTTTTTTTGATCTTCGAAATGGACTTTTTCCATCGATTTGCGTCAATACATTCTGAGAACCAAAGGATGCGAGCTGCTTTCAGTTATTTCACTCGTATCGATGGAATGAGTCTCTGTCAACGTTTCAACGCTCATTAACAGACATCCGACTTTTCAGATTCCACCGATTTCCGTTCATCTCCGTGCGAGGGCGTCCGTCCGATTTCAATGGGGTGGAACAGTCTCGAGTATAACTTTGCAAGTTGGCTAGACGACTTGTCCTCTATCAAAATCACAATGATTCGATAATTGCTTGATGAAAGGCCGACTTGAATTTATCCACTAGAAATTGTGCCTGGTGTGAATGATCCTGAGCTATCTACAATACTCTCGTTCTACGGCGTGGGTTGACTGTGTGCACAATCAATGCATCACCAGCCCGACTGACGCAGTCCCTCTGTTTACAAAAGTGAAATTAGAAAAGTGAAAAGTAAAGCATCTTTCACGAAACGGGATTCCGTCCTCCTTATGTCCCCGCCACATGGCAGGCGACCACTCGTCCACGAGGTTGGTGAGTGTCTGGACGTGGCCGCATGCAGCCAGCTGGGGACACGCGGTCGGCGTAGTACAACGAAAGTGAAAAAACAGGCAAATATAAACAGCGCTATGCATAGGTTCGAGATCTGCATGAGGGTGCGAGAATGTCGTAGCAGTTTTACACAGGCAATGAGTGCGAACATGGGCAGCGAACATGAATACTGATGACACGTTTAGTGACCCGCCATAGGCATAGCCAAATATGGTGAATGACAGCCTAAACATCCAGCCTGTGTGGCGTTCAATAACACCGATAACAAATACTAGACGGGAATGACTCACAGCAAAGGCTTCGTGACGAAAAGTACGAGACAAATCGGACGAGTGAAGATCGTCTTCACTGAGTTCTTCACCGTTCCAAGTCCTTTCCTTCCGATAGTGCATCTCCACTATCTTTCGTCTCAAATGTCATTTTGGGAGGAGCTCCAAGCGATGCAGCCCAAGCGTCAGCGGTCCCTGAATAACTGCTATGTTGATAAGGAGCGGAATCCACACCTGGAGGATTGACACCCGGCATAACATACACGATGGAATTTGACAGCCCCTCGTTGGCCAAGAACGACCACGTTTGTGTAGTCAGCACATTGGAGGATATTAAATGCATACCGTATCCCAGATATGATCGTGATGGAAGAGCGGTCGGATTACTCCACGATATTTATGTCTGTCCGGCGGTGCACCGTTGATTTACCTCGCAACTTGAACGCAGCTCAGAAATACTGAAAGTAGGATGGTTACCGATGGCGATCAAGCCTCCGAAGCTTCGGACACAATTGAACTCTTCCATCATGTGATCATGATATAGTACCGATTCCAACCGGTTGAGATTCTCACACAAGTATTCATTGTTCTGGACACCACATTGGCAGCAACTTACTGTAAATGTGGATCTATTGCAGATTCGAAGAAGTAAAAAATCGAGTGTATGATAATGACAAGAGGGGTGCACGTGGGGTGTGGGTCCTATGAAACTGCAGGGAAGTATTGTGCATGCTGACCCGAAAGCAGAGAAAATCCAAATATCAATGAATGTATCACCACATGAAGTACCTGGTGAGTGACACATCACTGTTTCGCGATTGTACTAATAGTAATTGAATAGTACAAGTATTTCGGTCGCCTTCGGATCTACTCTCGCAACTGAGGTTTATAATGTCCGTCACGTCGTGTCATCTTCATCACCCCAGTCAAAGATGCTTATCACTGCGCAATCTGTGGGATTGAAACTGTCTACTGGAGCCAATCTATTGGTCGTATCGCAGCTTTTGCTTGCGCTAGAAGCATTGTCTGCTCCGGCAGCCACTGTATCTGCACCCATCGTCAACTTGGGTTATGTCCAATACCAGGGATCGGTTGACACAGCGACAAACATCACCAGCTTCCTTGGAATACGCTACGCGGCTCCTCCAGTTGGTGCGTCTAGTTTTGTTTGTTGCACACTCTCAGCTCACGCACCAAGCGCATAGGCGACTTAAGATGGGCAGCTCCACAACCTCCATTGGCCGTCTCTGGGGTTGTTGAACAAGCTACCATGCAACCGAACGAATGCTATCAAGCGCCCGTAGGCAACTCTTCAACGAATCCGTTTGAAAGCACCTCTATGAGGAAAAGGGCCATTAGTCAATCTGAAGACTGTTTATTCTTGAAGTAAGCCCTGTCATGGGACGATGGTGTTGACATTTACAATCAGTGATTGCGTCCGGTAGTGTATACACTCCTGGAAGTGAAGTAGTGGCCACTCCGGGAGGAGGGCTCCCAGTTGTCGTTTGGATTCACGGAGGGGGGTATATTGAAGGAGCTGCAAGCGACTATAATGGCGCAGATCTAATTGTGCACTCGAACCACGGTGCCATCACTGTCTTAATTCAGTACCGCCTCGGTTTATTCGGTATGTTTTCGCTGCACCTCTCAGTTTCAGATGCGTACTGAGGTGTATACACTACCGATTAGGTTTTCTTCCTGGGGAAGCGGTCAAGGAAGGGGGCGCACTCAATGCTGGACTACGTACGCAATTATCATGGTCTGGCAATTATTCAGATTCAACTGAACTTGTTCTAAGTCGACCAGAATTATGCGTTACAGTGGGTGCAGGCCTACGTGAGCGGAACTCTTTACTTGCGCAGTATACCCCAGCTGATAGAAAGCTTGTCCGGATAGATAAGTAGCTTCAGCGGCGACCCCACAAAGGTCACAATTTGGGGAGAGTCCGCTGGTGAGCTGCACTAGGTACTCTTCGTCACTACCATCTTTATTTACTACTTTGTTTCAGGTGCCGGTTCAGTGCTACAGCATATTGTTGCCCATGGAGGAAACACGCAGCCTCCCCTCTTCAAGACCGCCATGACGAGTTCTACATTCTTGCCATCCCAATACAACTACAATGACCGGATTCCGGAGGTGATTCTTATTCATGAGGACGATGTTGCAGGGTCCTGAATACCACTATCAGATGTTGTATAGTGAGGTCGTCAATGGAACAAGGTAAATCCTTTGAAACACCGCCATTCCATATCTAATTCCTTGACTCGCAGCTGTGCCTCAAGTTCGGATACTCTCTCTTGTTTACGCACCACAGATGCCAATACGCTGCAGACCTTGAACTATAACATCAACGTCAACGGGTTCTTTGGCACGTTCGTATTCGTGCCTGTTGTGGACGGCACTTTCATCTTGGAGAGGCCTACCGTGACGATAAGGAAGGGTCGTTTGAATGGCGTACGATCCATGAATGCATCTATTTCACAAGCGAACTGAAACCCTTTCTCCCTTAGGACTATCTCCTTTCTATGACCAATTCGCGTGAGGGGAACTATTTCGTCGACCAATCAATGACATTGGATGTCGCAGATTATGTCAAGACGCTTTTCCCGAATTTCGGTTCTGCTCAGGTTGCTGAAGCGGTGACGCTGTACCAGAACTATGGAAGTAACGTTAACCAAGCAAATCTTGTGATGGGCGAATGTATGTGTATTTTTGAAGCGATGATCAACGTCCCTGATTTCATGGGTCGTTTTAGCAATATTCCTTTGCCCCACTTATTATCTCCTCTTAGAATTTGGAGAACGAGCTTGGAAAGTGAGTTCAAGGAAACTTGCAATTTATGTATACTCAATACAAGCAGGGCGAGTTTGCAATCCCGCCTGGCCTACATGGATATGATCTTATATACTACTTCACTTCATTTGAGTAAGTTGAAGCAATGGGTCAACTCTTACTATGATTGATACTGTTTCAGCGGTGGTCTTCCACACAACAATACGCAGTTCATCACTGCTTTCTCGAATTCATTCATGGCTATGGCCATGTTTGAGACTCCTGACGACAGATACACCCCAGGGGATATCACACCTTCCTGGAGATCTTGGCGATATGATTTGACAGAGATGATGTTCAACGAGACATCCGCGGGAGTAGCCGACGTTCACACTTTCAAGACTGATAGCGCCTTGCTGGAGCGTTGCGCGTGAGTACCATATTTATGATGAGCCAAAGTGCTGAGCTAAAGGCACGTAGCTACTGGCTAGACGTGTCAGGGTATTCAGCGCAGTGAATGGAAGTTGAGCACTGCTCTGGTATCTGCGTGAGTTGAATGGTCTCACAACATGTTTGTCATCCGTATATCAGCTTGTCACAAATGCTCTGGTCGTAGGATTAGTACGCGGCGAGACATATAATCTTTTTGTTCTGAGTGGGTGATGCGTTTGTTCGAGACACTCGATTGGCTGGCTGCGCGGACGTTCAAGTTCAAATTGGTCATGACTCACTGCCCCGCAGCGTTTTTGGAAGTGATCGAGCTACAAGGACCGTCAAGCAGCCAAGTTCTGCCCCGATATTTCACGTCACATCAGACCAAGATGTCTGTTTGACTCACTGCCAGCGTCACGAATTATTTGTTATCAGATACAGGGATTCTAATTTACATGCCTAATACCCTGGCGTGACGGCCCACAGTCCAACATTACCGCCAACGTCGCCTTGTAGTATCTTCTTCGCGTGTGGATAAAAACCATCATTGACGAATTCTAATTTTTGTTCTACAAACACTGCGCTGCAGACACCGTCCGCTTAAGTTGTCGGCGGGTGGGAGAGACTGGACAATACTGAGCACATCCACACTGAATTCACTTCATGACAACATCTCATCCCTTCACAGGACCTCCTGCACACTAAGCTCAAGGCAACGAAGGAAGGCAATGGTTGTGATGAGGCAGCGTCCATGGTATACTGTATACTCATTGTAAAGTTCGATGGCTCAGGATAGGTGAGCAGACGGGAACGTCTGGGAGTAGGTTGGAAGAGAGGAGTGACGCGGGTTTCATCTGCTTTCAAGAACTCCCGGGCCACGAAGGGGATAGGGCATCCATGGTTCCACCAACTAGTCACGGTATTTCAGGAGAAAAGCTTTGCCAATCTTGACTCTCTGATGCATCACCGGGTACGAGATTCTGTCGTTGGTCAGTGTTCAGTTCTCAGTATTAGCTATGGACATCACTAGACGACCTCCTACCATTAAGTCTGCGCAGCGGTCCCACCTCAGATTCCAAGACGATAGGGAAACCTGTACCATACTAGTACTCGTCAGTCATTCAATTAATTTGGAATAATATATCATGATGACAGACCACCTGGCACCCACATATGGCGCTAATGACGAGATCCATATATATTTTCTGAGTTCGAAAGCTTGGACACGATTACCAGCTTCCTTGTTTTCTGACACGAATCTTGGCCAACTCCGACCAGTGGCTGAAACCAGGCCACCTTGTTGGTTCATACAACTTAGCAAGATAGAGACGGGAAACTTAAGCGCGCATTGGACCACGAGTGTTGGAGCTCATTATCGGATAGCTTCAATTGAAAAGAATGTCAGTACTGAGATCTGAGAGTTGGCAGATGCACGCGCCTGTGGCTGCAACACACGTGTCCACGTGATTTGAGCGAAAGACCAATTAATTAAGTTAAGGTTTCCTAATTGCCCACGAATGCGCGTCTCGCCGAAGTTTTTTTGCTCGGTCGCGACAGGATTAATATTGCCCTTTGTTTCTGTTCTCCCACCTTAACACTGCTATTATGGTCAGTACGAGAAGAAATGGCGCCCGAAGTGTTCGGACACCCGCAACCACGACTACAGGCACTCCAAGCACATCCGTGTCTCCCCTGCTTAGCGGCGAAAACTCCGTGGTACCTGAAACCCCTGACACCTCCGACGTCGATGAGGATCCAGTAGTTGCGAAAATCACGACAAGATCACTTGCAACAAGCCTTATGAATACACGAAAGCGCCCTGCAGAAGATGCAGAGGAAGGCGAAGACTTCGCGGCTAGACCAGTCCCAACTAAACGGAAAGTTACCCACAAAGCTTTTTGTGTTGAGATACCCGTTAAAAATTCGACCTTAAAATCAAAGGCGAGAACACAGTCTTTAGTTCCGCCCAGCCGCATACTAAGTACCATCAATGTACAGCAACAAGCAACACCTGCCAAAAGCAAAGGGCGAGTTGCCGCCCCTCCTATCTCCAATGATATAGATGTCCAGCTTTTCTCAGAGGATGAGGACCTCGAGGACATTGAATTCAGTGACTCGGAGTATAACGAGTCGGATGACGACGCCCCTCTCCCCTCAAAGAACTGGGAACGATTTTCGGACGTCGTCTCGGGTTCTGAGGGCCACGAGTCTGGAGGTGACGAAGAGTTGATGGTTGCTGCCGCTATTGAGCTGTCCCGTGAAACAGCACGGATCGCTGCTCAAGAGTCCTCGGGAGTCGGTTCTTCCTCCAGAGTCAACATTGCGTCACCAAGTCTCAAGATTACTAAGAAGGCTGCTGCCGCTGAACGTCGCCTTGCAAAGTCTAATGGCAAGGGAAAAGGCAAAGGTCGTTCTGCCGGCAGTGAGGATGGCGATTTCATGCTTTCAGGCAGCGAATCAGCACTATCAGCCTTGAGCTCAAGCGAAGAGGAACTCCCACTCTCCAAGGGCAAGGGAAAAGCTACGAAGAAAGGCAAAGCAAAGCTCAAATTTATCGACACTGAACCCATAACTTGGGTAGAGCGGGCTCAACGGCGCCGTCTGCAAGCGGCCGAAAGAAGGGCCAACAAGTCAGAGGAATACGCATTAATGCAAGAGCTTGGCCGAAAGCTTACTTGGGTACGGTGACCTTTTCCTGCTGGAATATTTATCCAAATTGTCCGTGCAGGCCGAGAAATCTTCCTTGGCACTCAGAAGGCATCACCCTGAACTCAAGGACGTCTGGGGTGACGTTGAGTCCGGCATCCCCATCGTCGTACCGGAGAGAGCTGAACAGCCTGCTGGTTTGAAGGTCACGTTACTTCCATTCCAACGGGAATCACTCTTCTGGATGCGTAAGCAAGAGCAGGGGATCTGGCATGGCGGTATGCTAGCCGACGAGATGGGGTAGGTTTCTCAAACTTATAGCATATACATGATTAAATGCGTTATTTACAGCATGGGTAAGACTATTCAGATGATATCCCTCTTTGTGTCGGACCTGAAGCGTCCGAACCTTGTCGTTGCGTATGTTTCCACCATTCAGCTGTGTTGCCATATCCTAATCACATGTTACACAGGCCAACTGTTGCTATAATGCAATGGCGCAATGAGATCAACACTCACACAGAGGGGATGAAAGTCTTGGTATGGCATGGCGCGTCTCGCGTCAACAACCCCAAGGAATTGGAGAAATACGATGTTGTTAGTAGCTTCAGAATCCTTTATGCCTTCGTCTCAATTTTAATGCAAACCAGGTGCTCACTACTTACGCTGTCATGGAGAGTTGCTTCAGGAAGCAGCAGAATGGTTTCAAGCGGAAGGGGCTCATTGTGAAGGAACCTTCTCCTCTTCACCAGATTCAATGGAACCGGATCATTGTACGATCAGCTCGTTTTGATAACTTTATCATTACTGATGATTTTTTGGCAGCTTGACGAAGCGCACAATATTAAAGAACGCCAAACCAATACTGCCAAGGCATCCTTTGAGCTTCAGAGCAATTACAAATGGTGTCTATCCGGAACGCCCCTGCAGAATCGTGTGGGAGAGCTCTACAGTCTAGTTCGTTTCCTCGGGGGTGATCCATTCTCCTTTTATTTCTGTGCGTCATGCGTCTCTGCATCCGTCATTTGAGTTGTTGATCTTGTTATCGTAATAGGTAAGAAATGTGATTGTAAATCGCTTCATTGGAAGTTTACAGACAAAAAGAATTGTGACGGTAAGATTCTGTGCTCCAACTCCAGATGCCTATTTTATATATTTTATATATTTTACAATAGATTGTGGTCACAGCCCAATGCAACATGTAAGTCGCCATCACCATTTACAAACTCTTCTAATTAGTATCATCCAGACCTGCTTCTGGAACAACGAGATCTTGACACCTATTCAGAAACACGGCATCGAGGGCCCGGGAAGGATTGCTTTCAAGAAGCTACGTATCCTCCTTGATCGAATGATGCTGCGTAGAACAAAGGTCGGATCTATCTTTTTATTCGTGTACTCGAAATTGAATCGCTACCGCAGATTCAACGAGCTGATGACTTGGACTTACCTCCTCGTATGGTGATCGTGCGACGGGACTACTTCAGTCCCGAAGAGAAAGAGCTTTATCTTTCGCTCTTTTCAGACGCGAAACGCCAGTTCAGTACTTACGTTGACCATGGAACGGTTTTGAATAGTGAGATCACTTTTTCTGAAAGTTGGATTCGACTGTTAACGCTATTCCATCAGACTATTCCAATATCTTCAGTTTGTAAGCCCTTTGCGCTCTTACCCCGTTTAATTCTAAAGTTCTTGTAGGCTTACTCGCATGAGGCAAATGGCTTGCCACCCAGACCTTGTGCTCCGCAGCAAGACTAATGGGACCCAGTTCTTGGGCTCGGATGAGGCTGGTGAAGCCACGATCTGTAGACTCTGCAGTGATATTGCGGAGGATGCTATCCAGGCCAAATGCCGCCATATCTTCGACCGGGAGTGCATGAGACAGTATCTGAGTACGGCTGGAGACATGACGGTCAGTTTTCCCCCATCAACGTTTCCTTGGGTTCTGAATTTCTTTCAGCCCGACTGTCCTATTTGCCACATTGCTCTTACCATCGACCTTGAGGCTCCGGCGCTCGAACTTGAAGCGAATGTTCCTTCTGCGCGACAAGGAATTTTGGGACGACTCAATATCGAGACTTGGCGGTCTTCCTCCAAGATCGAGGCACTTGTCGAGGAACTTTCTAATCTTCGCTTGCAAGACAACACGACGAAGAGTATTGTGTTCAGTCAATTTGTCAACTTTTTAGATTTGATCGCTTTTAGGCTACAAAAGGCGGGCTTTTCGGTGCGCATGGGTCTGGGAATTTTGCTGAATGAAACGCTGACACCAAAATCATTGATAGATTTGTCGACTTGAGGGAACCATGAGCCCTCAGGCTCGCGATGCGACTATTCAGCACTTCAGTATGTCGGACGATCATCTATCACTTGTGTTTTCCTAACGCGTTTCTTCAGTGAAAAATGTTGGCGTTACTGTATTTCTTGTCAGCTTGAAAGCTGGTGGAGTGGCATTGAACTTGACCGAAGCATCTCGAGTGTATCTCATGGACAGTTGGTGGAATCCTGCGGCAAGTTTTCTGTATCTATCTCTCCCATCCTCAGCTGACTCCTGTTATTCTAGGTTGAATATCGTACGCGAATTGACTCGATGTCCTTGTAACACTTGCTGATTTCCACTGCAGAAGCTATGGACCGCATTCACCGTCTCGGACAATACCGTCCTGTTCAGGCTATCAAACTTATCGTCGAAGACAGCATCGAAAGCCGAATCATACAATTGCAGGAGAAGAAATCAGCGATGGTGGATGCTACGCTATCTACTGATGATTCCGTGAGTACTTGTAGTTAGTGGCTGACGCAAATATGAGAGCTGACCACGACCTAGGCGATGGGAAGACTTACACCAGAAGATGTAAGTGCTGAGATTCTGTCGCATGACATACGGCTGATCGAACTTGTGTAATCTAGCTTGGTTTCTTGTTCAGAGTATGTCCACTTTTTCTTGACGTGCTCGATTTCGCTGATCTTTGATCTGCCAACAGCTGTAAAATACACGCCCTGCCTTTCCAGGCAGTAAGTACTTAGAATATACTGTTGTTTCTGATTCTACACGGAATGTATCTATTTCGCGAGCACCCTCTAATTTTTAGCAATTCTTGACCTTGATGTTGAAGATCCGGGATCCTTGACCTATAGAACACTTTCGACGGCATCATCTTTGTCTAATGGAGTCGAAGTATAGATGGGACCCTCTCTGCATAGGAACCATGGCAGATTGAATGACCTACGCTGGTGGCAGATTCCAGTGCATGCGAAGTATGGTACAAGCTTATTTCTCATAAGTACAAGAATCTGCTAGACTTGATCAGAGTTCATTGTGCAGGCGTCAATGTTGATTTGGTCAACACGTGACCTGGTTGCGTGGCGTGACGCGACGCGTCTGTCAGCCTCAACTTCCTCCTTATAGTTCTCCCCATCTCACCGCTCCTACGAACGATGATCCAGATCGCGAGTGTCGGATTCCAACTTGAGGCTGACCGGAAGCTGACACTGGCGGGCGCGTCCTCACCGGTCAGCGTCCTCAACTTGCTCAACTTACGGCCCATGCCAATGACGCGCTATGACGTAGGTCAGCCAGTATTGCTTACAGGAGGCTGACTCTCCCAAACGTATAAATACCTGCCCGCCCATGCTTTCTCTTCTTCATCAGCTTTGACCTCCCCCACGAGTGCCAACGATCCTTCATCGTCACGTCTGACCCTCACTGCGTGTCACGGACGATTATCTTTCGTTGTCTTTGTCACTGATCGGATTGGATTTTTTATTCTCAGTTTCTTACTCTCTCGCTGTCTCGCTGTCTCGCCGGCTTGCTCTCTCGTCTCACTCTCTCGTCGTCTTGCTCTCTTGTCTTGTTCTCTTGTTGTCTTGCTCTCTCGTCGTCTCGCTCTTTTGCCGTTTTCTCGCACCCAACGTCGCCCACCTTTGGTAAAGCAATGTCAAATCTTCAAAGTGAGTTACCGCCCTCGCAAACAGAGCGTTCTTCTTATCATCTCTCTTTCCAGAATATCGAAAAGCCCAACGTTGGCCGCGTTGATGAAAAAATTTGCTTCTCTTTCCCTTGAATCTTGCCCTCGTTGGCATTGTCTCTATCTGAAATAGGGACCTGCGCACGCACTCGCCGCACCCCTACCGCCCACCTCTTTCTCCTCCCGCCCGCCAATCTAGCCACGCCAATCCACCCATTCCACGTCGGACGCTCCAAACATAATGAATGATGTGCGGTGGCCCTGTATTCAAGCCCGATAGCGTGGCATCAGTAAGTCTGATCTTCCTCAATTTCTCTGAACCTCAGTCCAACTCCCATCATTCTTTTAGTCTGACCGCAGTCGCTCTTTCTACTGGATGACAGATGCGTCACCATCTCCCGTTCCGTTTCTATTTCCGCTGAACATCAGTTCAAGCCTGTCGTCCGACAGCAGTCGCTCTTTCTACTGGATGACGGATGCGTCACCATCTTCCGTTCTGTTTCTATTTCCGCTGAACATCAAACCAAGCCTGTCGTCCGACAGCAGTCGCTCTTTCTACCGGATCGCGGATGCGCCTTCCATTTCACATTTCCTCTCGTCTATCGTCCGACCCATGTCACTCTTTCATATACCCTTTTCACCTTTCTCTCACCTCCTTCGTATACCCTTTTCATCTTTCTCTCTCATATTTATCGTCCGACCCAAGTCACTCCTTCATATACCCTTTTCATCTTTCTCTCTCATATTTATCGTCCGACCCACGTCACTCCTTCATATACCCTTTTCCCCTTTCTTTCTCGTCATATTTATTGTCCGACCCAAATCACTCCTTCATATACCCCTTTCACCTTTCTCTCTTATATTTATTGTCCGACCCAAGTCATTCCCTCATATACCCTTTTCCCCTTTCTTTCTCGTCATATTTATTGTCCGACCCAAGTCACTCCTTCATATACCCTTTTCATCTTTCTCTCTCATATTTATCGTCCGACCCACGTCACTCCTTCATATACCCTTTTTCCCTTTCTTTCTCGTCATATTTATTGTCCGACCCAAGTCACTTCTTCATATACCCCTTTCACTTTTCTCTTTGTTCCCCGACATCTCTTCTTCAAGCCTCAAGTCCACCAGCCCCGCTATTGCAATTGACCTGCACCCGTTTGCGCACCACGGTTTACTCGCAGCTCCATATCCAATCTTCTGACTCTTACGACTTTTACGACCTTCACGACTTTTCATGACTTTTCACGACTTTTCACGACTCTTTACGACTTCTTCTCCACCCGGATGCCAGAAGGGCCTGCACCCATTCGCACGCAATACGGTCTATACATGCAGCTCCGTACCCAGCCTATTCTATGATTACGACTTTTCTCTTCCCCCGGACGCTGAAAGGGCCTGCACCCATTCGCGCACGCTACGTACACGTAGCCTATTCCATCTGGTCTGCTATATGGTTCGTCCGCGACTCGTCTCCTCATGCCTCTTTATGCCTTATGACACTTATGACATTATGATTCATGATAATATACCGTCGTCACTTTCTTACGACACCCCCATACCACTTTTCCTATTATCTTTATGCCTTATGCCATTTTTCCTATGCCTTATACCACTTTCCCTACCTCTTTATGCCCTATGCCAACTTTTCTTCTATATCCTATGTCTTTATGCCACTTTATACGAAAACAAGACATGATTTTTAAACTTGTGTGCTTTAAGATCAGGGTATCGTGTTAACGTACAATCTTCGTTTTTCTAACTGTGGAACATGGTCTAGCTTATATACGCAGATTGGACTCGAGAAATTTGCGAGAAGTCAAAAATACGCTTATATATAAATTGATCGACTCAGGGAGTTGGACACGCTCGTTGGGAGCGTCCCCGACTCTATGATAATGAAGGTTCTGTCAGATTCAAAACATGTGCGCGTGAAAATATTTCCTTTTTTATTTTATTGTGAAACCTAACACTCGGGCCAGCATTAATGTGCAGCTGAACTTCCCGCTAACTCTCTGAGAACGAGGTGCACATTGACTGCAGCCGAGTTTCATCACCATCACGGTGCAGACATTGCAGTCGCCTTGCGCCTTCCCGCATTCATTCTGGCACCCTGAAATCCTGTCTCTGAGAAAAAATATTTGGTAGCTTTGCGGCATCGATATAATGCCATAGGGCGTGTTCTACTGCTTTCATACATGCAGACCGTCTATGTATTACACGCATATACTGACTCTTACGGGCGACTCGGGCTTATGAGGGGTTGACGGAGGGGTGTGGTGAGAGCGGACTGGCGACACCGTCTGGCGAAAGTGAATCAATGGCGGGGGATGGCGAAAGCGGACTAACAACGGAGGGTACACCTTCGCGCGCGTCCTTGAAGAGATACGTGTGCTACAGGCACGGATCGAAAAGTTGTATGAGTGAGGGGCTTTGGGGAGGAGTTGAATGCAAACTGATGCGCTGGTTTTTTCTTAGGTTGGGATTTTTGTGAGGGGGACACGAGATATTATGGGATCCGTGTCCCAGGTAGCAAAAAGTAAGTACAAGAAGTCATATCCATTCAGAACACCAAATAGATAGCGTAACAAGACTAAATATCACAACGAAAGAAAGAAATATACATGCTACAAGAAGTTTCTATCCTCCAAATCACTTCAGAATACTAAATACATAGCGTGACGAGGCTAAATAAATATCACAACAAAACAAACAAACACGCATGCTCCCTGTGCAATACCGTGGCTGATCATTTGGATCGTTTTATGTGTTACACATCTCTGCCAGTGGACGCATCTCCGTCGGTCAACGCATCTCCACCAGCCTGGAAAGCAATGGTCGTCATGCCTGTTCCCCCGTCGGCCCTGGCCGCCTAGCTTAGCGTAACATTCTCGAATGCTGAGGATCAGACGCGGTCCCAGCACAAACATCTGCAACATCTGAGCAATTGAAAGAACACCTGAGAAAACAGCACTTCCAATGTACAATGGGTTCTACAGAGAAATGATGAGAGAGTGGTCAGCTACAGATGTCAGTCAGGCCGGCGCACCGTGACATTTGGAGACAGTGAGCCAAGTGTGAAGCAAGCCATAGTAGCAAAGCTAGCGAATGCGGAACTTCAGTAAATCAAGATAATAACATTCAAATCACTGAACTCACGCTAGAAAGTAAAACACGTGACTCTCTGATAATATCCTGAAACACTCCCCAATGGTCGATCCTCCCGGCAATTGTCGCAGTTCACGGAGGTGCTTTATAACAATCCGGACTGTAAGAAACAAGGCCAGGATCTCCCATACAGCGGTGGATATCGTACTCTCGTAAATCAGATCTCGCGTGTACACGTCAATTTTGGGAATGCAGGTATGGTAGCCGGAAAGGACTGCCTCCTCTGGTAGATGTCCGTCAGTCACTTGTGCTCCAGGCTTTCATCAACGATTAAAGCTTACGCGCTGAAGCACCCAGGTTTCCATATACCATCAAAACTCCGGAAGCGATCGTGGAAGACAGTAAGGTCACAACGAGAAAGATGAGCAATTTCTTCGATCCCTGATATATGGCATTTATCCGAGCAATCATGATGACTTGAATGATAGTTCAGTCAAGGCAATATCAGTAAGACACAGCAGGCGAACTCACCGCCAAGCATGGCATTGATAATGATAGGGATCCATGCCTGTATGAACCAAACGATAGTGCCTGAAAATTCGGTTACTTTGTGATGGAATAAACACCCTACATGAACTCACAGCTGTTGAACTCGTTATCTTGAGGACACAAGCCGGTCGAGAGTCACTCACCCCTATATGGGACATAGTTAATAGTTGAATGGGAACGACAGGCATCGGTGCAGAATACGCACTACATCGGTAATCAAGATAGAAAAATTCCCTGCATGCCGTCAGTCAGAAGGAGCGAACACATTTGAGGACTGTCACATACACAGGTTGGCGCTGGTTGCGAGATATAGATTATGAGTTATTGCAGTGTCATGTAGATAGCCTTGCAGACGTACACAGAATATAATATTCCAATGTAGCGCACCTAGTCGCATATGTTGAAGTCAGCGCATCATGCCAACTGCGCTCGTAGCAATAACGTACACAAATATAAAGAACGGTCATGAAGGACCAACGTTGCTTCTGCCCGGAGTCAATGGTACCATCCTGGCTGGTTCTGATACGGGACGTTGCTCACCAAGATGAGTTCGAACTGTTAAAGCATTCTTAGCGAGATGCAGAGGTCATGACACGAACTTACCTCTTGTCCGAATGTTAATGCTTGAATACTGTATACATATCAATGATTCCTCGGAATGTATTATCCCGCTCACCCCAGTCGTATACCACCGCAGCAGAACTTGCAACTGCAAAACAATAGTCAAATATATTGAGACGTCACTATTGGAATCCAAATTACTCTATACAAACCTACAAAATAGCTGGAAAGACGAGCAGAACTGATGACCGGCCACCAAGCGAAATTATCTGAGACTATGGTCATATCGGGATGGGGTGGATGGAGTACGTGCAGATATACCGCTGTCCATCGCTTTTATAGTGATTGGTTTGGGTGTCTGTTTCTCGAATCAGAATCTTGATCAATCGCAGCAAACGCTGTTGAATGACATCACATAGAAAGGGGATAGTGATGCAGTGAGAAGACCTCGTTCGAAGCAAATCATGTTTTGGATCTGAAACCCGCAGAATAGTTGGACGCCGATAAGATCTGTTCGGGATGGAACTTGTTTCTGGAGGGGTTCTGCATCAGTTCCATCGGCGATCATGTGGTCATCAATCTTACAGCAGACTTCATTATATCAAAGCTGTGTATTGACAGAGAACGGACAATCATGATAGGGATGTGAACACCTCGCGTGTGTTCTCAAAGAGATACGTGTGCTAGAGGTACGGATTGAGGAGTCGTGTGGATGGCAGAAGAGGGTGAGGGAGCTTGAGGAGGAGTAGTGATATGCTAGTTATTTCTTGGGTTGGGAATTTTTGTGAGGTGGACGCAAGATATTGTATATATGGACTCGAGGAGGGGTGGGGTGATGGTCTTCTGACGTGGCATACCTAGGCTGGCCTATATGTAGACTGGGCGTATGCTTTGAAGGCTGCACATGAAGCGATTGCTTGAATTTACTGGAGAATAAATGATGTATGATATCCGAAGACAAAACTTTTGTTTTTTGACAGCCTGACAGGACGACCTAGCTTATCAATGAACGGTCATAGCACAATATTACCCCCCTTGATAAGCTACTTCGAACATATCGTGGCAGTTCTCTCGCTTCCTCACAGAGCGCTTGCCTACTTTGAAACAATACGACAACGATACACAACTGTACACATTGTCGCGGTTCAGCGGCGTACAAAGAGCTGAATGAACATTTGAAAATCCGACAGAGCCTCGCCCGCTACTAGGTAGGAGTGGGTATTCGTTTTGTGAGGTGGATCGGACGTAGCATAATTAGCGGTTGGCTAGGCTGGTATGTGGACTGCGTATGGAGAGATCTGAGATATGAGAGCTGCCCGGTGCGCATACATCAATTACTTACTTGTTGTCCAACGAGACCTCTGAGATCGAACTGCAACTTTGTCCCGACGACAATACTTTTGCCAGGACAGGACAGCTTACCAGCGAACATACTTGATATTGCTATATTGGATCAATGAGAAAGTTCTGGCAACTCCAGGACCTGCAGACTTCGAGCTGTGTCTGACTTAGTTGACTCTGAATATTAGGGTGGCTGACAATGTTAGCGGGGTTCCAACTCACTGTTCTTGCCGACCCTAGGCCTCATCGATCATCGATTCATCCCTCGTCGTTGGCAACGGCGTGACGATTGGCAACATTTCTCGCCCACCCGACGCCTGCGTCGTCTCCTCACCTCTTTTCCCGCCAAAATTACGACACATCCTTCTCTACGCCACGACACGATCTTTACGACCATCATGAGTTCTCTACCTATCATTGCTGGGTTACAGCTATAACTCGATTATTTGTTGACTGCCGCATGCACGAAGGGCGCGAAGAAACACAGTCGAACTGGATGAGCTCAAAGGGCAGAATCAAGCACGTGAATAAGGGAGAGGACGGGAACTCGGAAGTGCTTCATCCGCCCTCGCAGATGGTTCAAACTCCGAACGATGTCAATCACCATCATGATGGCCCCAGATCCCGACGCAGACAAGTCCCAGAAGTCTACCACAGACAGGCCATGGAGTTGCCATTTCCTGGACGTTCTCATATCAGTTTGTTCGCTGATAAGCTACTGACTGGTACTCATGTGCTTTACGGCAATTTGTGTGACGCGAATGACACTTTGAATGGTCATCTTGTGTATGAATATTGCAATAAAACAAGACAACGAAACACAGCTCCAAAACGGAGTGATCACTTGCCAACGCTTTATAGTGAATTTTAATGATAAGGCCCATTGACTTTGACCACATGTCAATTGTTATAAAGCATTAAGGACTTGTGGGGCTTCAAGCATCGATTGGCCACTCCGTAGATCTAGAGGGGATTCCGTGTCCCAGGTAGCAGAAAGTACAAGAAGTTCTATCTCCAAATCACTTCGGAACACCAAATACATAGTGTAACGAAGCTAAATATCACAAGACAAATAAATATGCATGCCCCCCACAGTACCGTGGTTAATCATTCGGATTGATTTATGTGCTACACATCTTCGCCAGTCGACGCATCTCCACCGCCGGTCAACGCATCTCCACCAGCCTGGAAAGCAATGGACGTCATGGCTGTTCCTCCCGTCAGCCTCGGACACGAGCTGAGCGTGATGTTGATATTCTCGAATGCTGAGGATCAGACGCGGTCAGAACGTATTATCCCGCTCACCCCAGTCATATACCACCGCAGCAGAGCTTGCAGCTGCGAAGCGACAGTCAAATACTTATATTGAGACGTCACTATTGGCATCCCAATTGCTCTATACGAACCTATAAAATAGCTGGAGAAACGAGCAGAACTAATGACTGGCCACCAAGCGGGATCATCTAAGACTATGGTCATATCGGGATGGAGTACGTGCAGTGTGTGCAGATATAATACCGCCGCGGTCCATCGCTTTTATAGTGATTAGTTTGAGTGTCCGTTTCTCGAATTAGAGTCTTTGATTGATCGCAGCAAATGTTGTCGCACATAGAAAGCTGGGATAGTGGTGTTCATGAGAAGTTCGAAGTAAAGTACATGTTTGGATCTGCCGAATTTTCCCCGACTCCACTGTTAGTGGAGAGGGTTTTCACGGACAGAAACGTTCAGGCACCTGCACCGAATCTGCGTTCGTGGAGCACATATATAATGAAAATGGGCCGATGGGAATGGAAAATACAGACGGCACGGAACCTTAATGCTGTCCGTTGAAGTAGTAGTGGACAATCAGGATGTTCTGTTGGAGGTCTTACGTCGCTATTATGATGCCTCAAGGTAGATCAAACTGCTAGCTGTTTGTGCAGTTTTCTCTCAAAACTTACATGATCCAAAAGTAGTTGTCATTTCAGCTTATGCTGGTGTGCCTTTGCCAATTCTGTAGATGTCTTCCGAGTGGTTAGCCCCTTCTGCGTCCGACGATGTATTTGTTGGCCCTGAAAAATTCAAGCCTAATGATCAGTTAGGTCCTATTTTTCGAGTGCCTAAGGATACATCTGGGTGTTCCTCGTGTGGTCGAAGCATCGCCATCGGTCGGCGGCCTATTATAGCATACAAACCGACCAAGAAAATGTCAAACTTTATCCTGCCAAGTTCCAACGATGTGATGCCTAGCTTGCTGAGCGTGTACTCGGAAACCACGAGCTTGATGTCAAGAGTATTTGAAGAGGATTCAAAAGCACCTTGCAGAGCTTATAGTGGACGGAACAATGACGGGTCCGCTGTAATATTGCTTTGAAGGCGGGTGTCTTGGATCCAGGGTGTGATAACATTAGTGGTCGAGTATTAGTACTCATCCGCCAACTACCAAAGTTTCAACATCACTGACAGAGACGCAAGTAAATATGCCCATCATCACACAGTGTTAGATAGCATGTCAAGGGCAGTGTGTATGATCGTAGGGCATATGCGGATGCATACAAGTATTTTGAAGGATGTATGAGGTCGTAAAGCATAGCGAGTGATATGTAAAAAAAACCATCCGACCTCTTAAGCCTCCTTGACCTTGACGGTACCGCGTAGCAGACCAGTCTACCAAAATTATTCAGCATGCACAAAAATGAAGGCAACCTACAAAATAGACATACCCGGCGAGCGGCAATAAGACCGACTTTCTGTCCAGGAACTGCCGAACGGGGAACTGTCGAGGCTTTTCCGATGTGCTGGTGGTTACCACCACCGTGAGGATGGTCGACGGGGTTCATAGCCACACCACGAGTACGAGGCCAGCTGTGAATTTATGAGTAAACAAATAACACAATCATCACTGTTCACCCACCTGTTACGCTTAGCCTTGTATTTGTGATATGCGCGACCAGCCTTGAGCAATGGCTTATCGATACGTCCACCACCAGCAACGATTCCAACAGTTGCCCGTGCACCCCCAGACACAGTCTTCTTCGCACCACTAGGCAGACGAATGCGGGTCTTGTTGTCCTCTGGCGAGTGGCCGATGACGGTTGCAGTAGTTTCCAGACGTACGAGCGAGAGCACCACGGTCGCCGACTTTCTCCTCGACGTTGCAGACGATGGTACCTTCTGGGCATTGGCTCACGGGAAGGACGTTACCAACGGTAAGAGCGGCCTTCTTTCCGCAATATACGAATGAGCCGGTGTGCATGCCCTCTGTGGCGATGAAGGTCTCCTTGCGGAGCTTGTAGCGGTAGGGGTCACGGAATACGACACGTGCGAGGGGTGCACCGCTAGAATGCATGTGAGGAAAATAATGGATTGGAGTGTTTGATCCTTACCGGCCAGGGTCGTGGATGATTTCTTTGACGATACCCCGGACGTAGCCATTGCGTTCGGCGTAATCGAGGGTACGAAGCTTGGCGGGGGCCTTGTTGTGGTGGGTGTGCGCTTTGAACTAGATGAAATGTACAAGGTCGTAAAAGTCTGAGTAAGTGGATAAGTAAGGAAACGTACGATAGCGTGCGAGCGCCTCTGAGCCCTGATAACCCTACCCATGGTTTATCTGTAAAAAGTGATAAGCTGAGTGTCTGATGCAGAGGTGTGCAGGGTATCCGATGCAAGTGCAAGTCATCCAGCCGTTTCTGCGTCAATTTCGACGCGATTTTCGACCAAAGTGGACAGAACACATATTTGGACTCGTACGTTGCAACCCAGAGCAGTGATTCGTGCGGCATACTCACATTATTGTGTCTTGAGGACTCGGTGTAGGCTGTGGGCGTTGGCGTATAGTGCACCGAAGCCGTTGTCCAATCGGCGCCACAAATATCGGCAAATGCCGGGAGGGTCGATTGCTTGTTAAGGAAAACACTCAAGTTGATAGATCTTCTAGATCCGAGTAATTTTCGAGGCTTACCTCGCGAAACCTTTGTGCAAATCAATTGGATTATTGGGTCATCAATATTTCATAGTAAACTAGTAGCAATAGTGGCAGACGGGTTGGGTAGTAGGTATTAAGTTTCGCATGGCCGTCAACGACTCGTCGTTGAACACACAGGCAGGTTGGAATGTCGATGAGCTCGTCATTAACAGAGGCGCAGAGCAAGCTATAGACTTAGTATAACCGTCCATTAAATAAACATCTCAAACCATGGTATACATCAATAAGCTCCAAGATCCCTGAGAACCAAAAACTGATCGAAATAAAAAATGTTCAAAAAGTGAACAAGCAAGACCGTCGCTCTATACCCGTGGGCCGTCAGGAAAGAAAAACAAATACAGCTCTCACCCACACATCAACCATAAAACTAGCCCAAATACAATCCAAAGCCAAGTCCACAGCCGACCTGTACGCATGTATAGTACCTCTTCCACACGCCTTCAAAAAATCAGACCAACGGCTATAAGGAACCAAAGCACAGCAGGATGACCACGCCGGTCAACGGCGACGTTGAGCGTTACGGAGCATCAAACAAGGGTGGGCTTGCCTGAATAGCAAGACAGGACTTGATAGTGCATACATGATACCCCAATTCAATCGCAAAGTATGTCGTCCAGCCAGTGATGGCTCAGGAGCGTGATGATGGCAGACCAGGTATAGCGACTGAGGAGATATTGTGCCCCCTTCAATTGATTTTGGTCCGAAGTGATATAGTGACTGCAAGCGCGTTGAACAGTAGCTTCACAAGAGTGCTGAACGGGAACTCGACAGCTCATTCTGTTCCATACATATAACTGCTCTTTAGAATAGATAGGCCTTCTACTCAATCCCTGAAGAAACCGAATAAGGTCCAAATGATCAGAGGACACCAGAACCCGGTTTCAAAGTTGCCTGGATTGAGACGTGAGGTGGACACCGCTCCAAGATTATGTGCTGTGGGTGCCGCCCCTCAATCCATCATACCTCACTATTCCAGCTGTTTTGACCATGTCAGAATTCACTGGAGATGAGATCATCAAAGGACTGTTTATCAATACACTTACACCTTACATGAAAGAAGCAACGTAAATCTGCTTAAAGGTCCACTCTGCACAGGGAATTCCACTCCCGATGTATGAAAGCTAAAACCCCAGAACTTCGAGAAGCGCGTATTTAAGTTGTGGGAAATCATTCTATGTGGGATGATCAGCGCCTGAGCGAGAGATCCAAAAAAGGCAGATGCGCTACAGGTACATATACTAGGACGGTGAAAGATACTTATCAAGGCGATTGACAGGTAGCTGACGTACGGAAGGAACCTGGGGGTGAAGTGTAAGTGAGTTGGAGGTGATTAGAGACGTGTCAGGATGCGCAAACTTTACATAAAATGAAAATAACGTGAAAAACGCATACCCGTGAACTTTGCCAACAATGTCTTCGGTCGAGCCATTCAAGGCCCTTGATATCATCGACATGATTATTGTCGCCCTTTGTGAGCATCAGTCAATGTTCCCCTGGTGGAAGTTTGAGCTTTGCGAGTCTGGGGCAGTGTGTGTGGTAAGGTTCGCGTTGGGAGTAGAATGTCGCCACTGTATATAAAGGGATGCAAAGGTCAGGGGGTAGGTGGCTGTGTGACTATTCGGAGTGTGAAAGTGAAACTCAGCTAAGCGTGCGTTTTCACACGAGTGTAGTCCACTTTGTTAGTTCGGTCGCAATTCTCCGGTTAACGACCAAACTTCCGTCGACTTTCCGTCTACTATAATGATCCATCTCGATCGTAACCGCAACGAAATCGATTCAGAACAAAATTCAAATCTTATCTTGCAAGGGGACCATTCAGCTACCTTCAATTGGGTCACAGACATTTCTCATAACGACGAGCATCACAATTATTTCCAAAACTCTTTGTCTGACTTGAATAATAACCATCCCGAGGGTCAGACAATCCATCCTATCCAACTTCAAACTGACGACAAGAGTTCGTCACTTTCACCTCCTCCAGAATACACTTCTTCTCCTCAAATTAAACGCAAGTCTCCTCCACAAGAACCAGTACAAGAACCAGAACAGGAAGACGATGGAGATGGTTCTTATTCAAGACAGTTAACACCACTCACCGACCTATCAGCAGTACCAGATGGTGACGATAGTTTGGATTTTGAAAAGAAGGATGACAGTACAGGAGAAGTGGAACAAGAGCAGAATGGTGACCTAAACAGCGCACAAGACAACCAAGATAATCGTTGGTCAGAAAAACGCACAATAAATGGCACTTCATCCCCAGTCCGCTCAATACCCAACTCTCCAACAAGACATCCAATCCCATTACCCGTACCAGGTCCTTCTCACAGACTTGGCCCATCAGCTGGCCCTTCTCATTCAAGACGTCCATCAAGGGAAATCGTATCAATCAGCCAACTCCCTTCACCAAACTTACCTCCAGCAAAATTATCTGATCCCTCTGCTAAAGATCCAAAAGTCGATAGGATTCTCGAGATCAACTCAGAGTTGTTCAAGTCCGTTCACACTCACTTTCTTCTTCCTCAATCTCACTTTCTTACGTTTTAGAGTCTGTATGGAGTTTCAGACACGTGGCGTGCCACAAACTGACGCTCGCTTCTCTCAGTAAGTACTACTTCACTTTTAAAAACAACCCTCATCATTTAACCTTTCAGTTTTTCTAATCGCCTACAAGTAAACTTGGCTTGGCTAACAGTAGCTGCAGATCCTCATCGATGTAACGTATGTATCCCTTGTCTCCTCAATACAACCCCTTACTCACCCTTTTAATAGGATCCCAGACTCGTATTGCCTGCAATGGATGCTCCTTCTCCCGTCGAATTCATATCAATGGATCGAATACATCACCTCTATGCCGATTTACCCACCATATTCGCAAAGGAACTCGCACGACGCCAGCCCGCTTCCGGCGCTCAATATTCTCCTACCTCTTCTGCACTCCTAAATGGCCCACTAAAGCGCAGCAGACCAGATGACATGGCAGACCTCATGAACAAAAGACGCGACATCGGTGAGACCAAACAACACTCCATGCAACCACCCACAATTCCATCCATATCCATATCTGGTGCTGGCCAGCGCACCAGCCCCACATCCACCTTCCCACCTCCCATTCACCCAAACATGTCTCTCGCCAGCGCCCCCGCCATACCGCAGAGTCCCCGTACCTCCAGTCCCATGCCCCCACCATCGTCTACCCCCTCACTACCCTTCGGCGCCACTGAAGCATCGATAGCAGCCACGACACGCGCTCGCGCACGGGAAATGCAGATCCATCAGGCACGCGAGCAACTCCGAGCAGCCCAGATGCAACAACAAATGCAATCCGCGCGCCAGATCTCCCCTCCTGATTCCTCCCCACGAATTCCCCAAAATTCGGGACCGGGCGCACCGCAACATCCGCATACATCATATAGCCACAACGCTGCAGCGATGCAAATTCTCCAAAATCCCAGCCACCCCCTGATGACGTATCTCGTGTCACAAATCCCCAATTTCACATCTCTGCCGTTGCCTCAACAGGTGCAGAAGCTCACGAATTTTCATGTAATACTTCACGTTGTATCTGCGAACTAGCATATTGATGTTTCGTGCAGAATATTCTACAGCAGAAGCAGCAACAGAATCCATCCAATCAGCAACAACGCCCACCTATGCCTGGCCAAATGCCTGGTCTAGGCCAGAACCCCTCCATGTCGCCCATGCCCAACGTCCCCATGCAAAGCAGTGGCCCAAGCCCCGTATCCCCCCTAGGCCAGCAATCACCCGTCTCATCCCAACCCCAACAACAAATGAGCGCTCAACCTCAGCAGACCGGCATGTACCCATTCAGCAATCAAGGCCACAACTGCACCCAGCGTAGACCCCCGTATAGCAGCCCCCAATTTCTCACAACAAATGCCGGGCAACATGAGCGCTATGAACCTCAACCAGCAACGGCAGCTCATGCTCATGCAGCAGCAAATGCGGAATTCAAGCGGGAACATGAACATGAACGCTCCGAACCTCATGAACCCGCAGCAGGCGTTTGCGATGCAGCAACAACAACAGCAGCAGCATCGTGGGATGCCCAGGGCGGTCCGTCCCAAGGGGGTTCACCCATGTCTGCCCCCGCGAACGATGCCTTCCCCGCGTTACGTTCAAATTCGACTATTCCGGGAATTGCGAGAAGTGGGCGGTCGCCTTCTGAGAGCGTGCATTCGCCTATGACGCCTCGTGCTCCGTCAAGACTTTCCTCGCAGCCTCCTATTCAACCTGAAGATTATCAACGGGCAATGACGCAGCAGCCACAGCCGGGCATGATGGGGACGCAGCAGAATGCTGGGTCGTTCCACCCACAGATGCAGTATCATCAGTGGCCGAATGGTCAACAGCAGCAGCAACAACAACATCAGCAACAGCAACAGCAACAGCAACAGCAGCAACTGTCGCTTGGAGGCCAAATGAACGGATTTGGGATGAACCCCCAGGGAGGAGCAGTAGCAGCAAACGGCCCCTACGGCGGCTCCATCTCGCCATCTGCAGGGCCCAACTGGCAACAGCAAAGCATGAACGGATACTACCCCCAAAGCAACCAACGACCCCCAAACATCCCCATGCAACAAAACATCAGTCCTATAGGAGGAGACACGAGCACAGGAGAATACGACATATTTAATTGGAATGGTCCATGATGCGTTCTGTTCTTTCTGGGTCAAGACGCTGATTATCACTTCGGTATTACCTTATTATCTGTTGTCGCAGCTCCCTCAGAGGCTGTTTTCGAGTGCTTTACTTTTTACTTTTTAACCATCACGTGTCATACTGTACGTTTTTTTTCGGTTTTATAGCTTTTTTTCTTTCTCTGTTTTTTTTTACTACCTCCCTGCTCTGCTGTCTGTATTTTGTAGAAAAACTTTTTTTTCTATGAATTCCGATCTGATGAAGGTCCGGGGCAGGACTGTCATTTTGTTGTTGGACGGTGTTATTAGTCTTAACTTATAGGGGAAATGATATCCGAGTCGAGTGCCTGACACAGGTCCAAGTATAAGTCTACATACCCAACACAAGTCACTTGACTGCCATCTGCCAAAATACCGCCACCTTTCCTCACGCGATGGTATTTACCAGACTCTCCTCACAAGAAAAAGACGCCTTCTTTGAGCTTCTAGACGAGTCCGCGCCATCTCTCTCTCAGTCAGTCCCTCATATATGCGCTGACCATGCTCGCAGGTACTTCCAATCCCGCCCTGAGATACTCGCCAACGTTAACACAAGCAATGGCACGAGCAGCGCCCAAGATCCATCCGCAGCCGCTGCATCAGCCGTTCACCGCGCTCTCGCCCAAAACCCCGAAGTCACTTCCAAGATCGTCTCCGCCGGTATGACGCATGGACTCGCAAAGTCCAATAACCCATATGCATCCACGGTACGTCTCTTCACTGCCCCCACACACAATATCAAGTATACCAACCTGAACTCGAACGATCCCAAATCCATCGACTAGTTAGCCAGTAATCCACAAGTGAACAATTCCGTAGGAAGAGTAGCAGCAGCTTCGCTTGCGTTTACCGGTGGTGGCCCAAACTCATTCTCATCTTCAAACGCTTCAAAATCCCTAGTTCCTTCCCTCCCTTCACGCAGCTCCAGCACAGTCAGCGCATCCTCACCAGGGTCCGAGATCGATAAACTCGTCACGAAAAAGGTCTGTTTCTTCTCCTTCTCAAGTCCACCATTGACGCCCACTTCTCAGTCGAGCGTCTTGGGCGCATTTAGGAAAGCACCCGTAGCAAACGTAGTAGCTATACCCTCTGCATTCCAACCGCCCAAGGCATCCTCATTCGGCCCACCTCCAACTCGGCGCACGACATCAGAAACGAGCACTCCTGAGCCTGTTGCTGCTAGATCCCCACCACCCATCCTCCCACGGCGTGCAGTCGAACCGGAACCTGAGGAACCACAAGGGGAGTGGGCAGAGGTGTTGTATGATTATAGTAGTGAGGTATGATGTATTCATTTGCCTTGTTATCGATGCGTCCACTCGAACTGAGCTATCTTCCTGTAGGATCCTGGCGATTTGGAAGTTCAAGCTGGCTCTCGTGTATTTGTCACTGCAAAGTCTTCTGATGACTGGTGAGTCCTTGGATCTTGAATGTTGCGCACGTCACTGACTTTTTTATTCAGGTGGACGGGTCAGATAGAGGGTCAAGGAAAGGAGGGATTGTTCCCTGCCTCATACGTGAAATTGTTGTAATCTTTATCTGACGTCGATGTAGAATACCACTATCGTTTCAAATGTAATGCGGCAAGTGAGTGCAGTAGACTTATATCGGTCCTGGCAAATTTGTACAACACGCCATCACAAGTGTCCTAAATACTACAATCAGGCAGCCTACTCGCAATGTTATCCAGTCATCGTGAAATCATAGTATGTATGTATGTATACATCCACTGAACTACAAGTAATCGACGAGCGGTATGGTTATCTCACGGATACAGAACGAGAGTAGGAATAGAGCTACAGTGGTGTCCGACGCCCATGTCACCGAGATGAAGGATGCGTCCAGGAATGGGATGAAAAACAAGTCCGAGGGGTGGGTAACGTGATGTCCAGAGTACGATAGGTGATAGTGATGTGCCAGGAAACAACGTGAAGATTGATACAGAAATGAGGAGGTTAGATGACGTATGAAAGCACGTCCGTCACCAGCCGGTCGAGATTTAAACGTCAAGTAGATTCTGATTGGCCGTCGCTCGGAAGATCGCAGACCTCGAGTGTACCAGTCTATGGAACGCGCTAGCCCCGTGACCAGGGGGATGGCGTTCTGCAGGCTCGACAATGCTCACCACAGGAAGACCCACAGACCCCTTGCCAGAGAGGTCACTTGTCGCCTTCTCTTTCTCCTGACCCTTGATCGCCGCGCTCCACATGCGGCTAAGGAATCCATTGGAAGACATGCTAGCGCTTGCTTTCATACGGGAAGCAGAAGCACCGGATCCGCCAGCGGAATCAGCGTCGGATTGATTTCGATTGTCGCTCGACATGCCGTATACGTAGGAGCTCGCTCGCTTACCGGGAACGGAAGCACGGTTGACGACTCTGATCGTGCATATCTCCAAAGGCGCGGGCGAGTTGTGAGGAGAAGGAGAGTCGCCTGCTCGGACGGTCGCTATAGATCGGACTGAGCCTGCTTCGGATACCTTTCGTCCTTCTCTGTGCGCCTGAGGCGGGATACCACCCAAGACAAACGGTTTCCTCACGACGTCTGGCTTCTCCTCTTGCTCATCGTCGGAAACGCTACTAACCGAATCAGACGAAGACCCAGAGTCCTCTATTAACGACTCCATCTCGGAATCAGTTGCACTCGAGCTATCGCAGCTATGCACACTCGATATCGGTGATACGATGCAAGAAGAACGGCTCTGGTTACCTCCAAGACGGCTACTCGAGAGACGCCTTGCAATCCCGCGGACTGTGGACACAATAGAGGACCCAATAGGAGGTGGAGGAGGAACTTCACTAGGTGGAGTTGGTAGCTGTGCCTGGGCGCGAGCTTTTCCTGCTTTGGAAACTCGCTCAACCGCTGCCGCACGGGTTTCCTGCTGCTGGGGAGTGAGCGGGCAGATAATACGCGTGGGCATGAAAGGCGCAAAGTGGATGCATGCTTCATGTTCGTCGAAGCGGAGGTCGTAGCCCAGTATATAGAGAAGCTGTTCCTCCATGAGGTTCACCTCTGGGAGGTCAAAGTGTTCAGCGTATGTCGCCCAATGTGTGTTTTTGGGAGATGAGTCATTGAGGTACTTGGCTGCTACGATCAGCGTCGCCAGGAAGACGCGGTGTCGGGTGCATGGCCGGCCTAGAGGAAATGTGATCAGAAATTGGACGGAAGATATTCATGCTACATACCCTTGGTCATGGCGGGCACCTTGACACGCACGCGGTGCAAGTAAATGAGGGTGGTGAGTAGCGTGGGCACCTGAACGTTCGACCTGTTCACCAAGCGAATGATAAAGCTCACAAGACTCGGCAGTTTCGGCGCCACTGGGGCGGGAGGGGCGATGTCCTGTGTCTCGGAGAAGGGGGCCTTGATTGGCGTCGTAGGGGGTGTTGGGAGGGCGCTGGGAACAGGGAGTTGCTCGTTGATCATGATGGCTCGCGACGCCTGATGAGCGATGTAAGAGATCATCTCCATTGAGACAGGCCTACGCATAAGTTCTACAAGGTATGGATTATGAAGGGACCTTGGCAGGAGGGACGCTGGGTGACGGCGGTCTAAGGACATTTCTGAAGGGAGTGGACGTAATAGAGATTGTTGTGTTGTGCCCAGCGGCGGGCAAATGAAGCAAAGAAAAGAAAAGACAAGGAGTAAAATTCCCGCGGGGCGAGCTTATGAGGTGTGGAATCTGGCGTGAATACCTGTGACAAACAAACAGCGCGACACGCGCCGAGATCACGAGACTAAAATCAATGTGGTAATACCGCCGGAACCAGCGACGAAGACGTTAGCGCGGGCAGTGAGTGGAGCAGAGCACGAAGCAGAGGAAGATCATATTCAAGACCCTGACCTTTATAAACTTGATGATAATTATGAACGAGACCGCCAGACTGAGCAGTTGCAAAATTGAGCAGTCTTGCCAGTTTTGAATTTTTATCGTTATGGTGCGATTGTCAACCTCAACATGCTAATAAAAAAATGTTAGACGTGGTCTTACACTGTGAGTCTGACAGTCAAGACATCCTTTGCCAGAGACTCAGCTGAATATTCGACTGTACTGAGAGTGGACGGTCCTTGAGAGTTGCGGATCAAAAAGTGACATCCGCAGACCGCGTGCACTGCTAGCACCGCGTTTCCTGCTTTCCTCATGCTGTCATTGTCAGACTGGATCACCACTCTTTCATTGGTATTCGGAGGCTGCTGCAGGCGAGTGAACTTGAACTAGATCTCATTCTGACACTGATTCGGGAACGTGGCTCAGTAATGCCATCACCCTAGAGCACATCACATCTCGATACCCGAACGCAGGCGTCCTGATCACCTTTTTCCAGTTCCTCATTGTTTCATTATATGGACTACCCAAACAATTTACATTCAACGACCCTCCAGAATCTAAACGTGCAGCAAATGGACCAAATGGCACTGCGTCTGCTCCTACAACACCGCGCAAAAGATGGATTCCTCGGCTGAAGAACCGAAAGGTACCTCTGCTACCTTATTTCGTCCAGGTCGCATTGTTCTTTGTACTGTCGACTCTAAACAATGCTGCTTTTGCATACCACATCCCTATGACCGTGCACATCGTGTTTCGCAGCGGTGGTATGATCATAAACATGATACTGGGATGGATCTTCACGAAGAACGGTTGGTGTTCCGTTACAGCATTTCCAACGTGTTGCTCATTCCAGAGAAAGATATACCGTACGACAAGTGGCTTCTGTCCTCGTCGTCACAGCTGGCATCATAATAACCACGCTCTCTGCTTCAAAACCCAAATCTCGTGCTGCCGAAGTAGGCACACCTGACGTCTCACTCTACGCAATGGGAATCTCTATCCTTGGCCTTGCCCTCGTCCTCTCAGGTTTCCTGGGACTCATCCAAGACTGGGTCTTTGCACGATACGTCACACCCGCTCAAGCTGAAGCTGCTTCCGACCCCGCAGAACAATCTTCATGGCAGGAACATATGTTCTACCTCCACTCTCTCGCTCTCCCTTTGTTCTACTTCTCCAAAGATAACATATCCATGGAGCTCACACGCATGAGTTCTAGTCCGCCTGTTTTCCTTTCCCTACCGCAGTCAGGGCCTCTTGCACCATACGAGGCAGGCCTCATCGTGCCCTCTATATTTGTCTACCTCCTCTTGAACACGTGCACGCAGCTCGTGTGTGTCGTAGGAGTCAACAGGCTCACTGGGCGTGTATCTTCACTGACCGTGACCCTCATTCTTACTGTGCGCAAGGCCATCTCGTTATTGCTGAGCGTCGCATTCTATGGAGGACAGGGAAACACGGAGATGTGGGCCGGCGCGGGATTGGTATTTATTGGGACTATCGGGTATTCGACTGGAAGCAAGTCGAAAGACCCGAAGGAGAAGAAAGATTAGCGGGGGCATCGTATCACTAGATGAGCTTTAACGAGGATCTTCTTATATATAGGCTATACCAATATTCAAGTTAACTATACCATGTAGTCATTCAATTGTTCTTCGTTATGATCAGGCGATAGTGCTGTCTAATAACTCCGCATGATACTTGTCATCTGAATGGCCGGTTATGTGAGATTCAGACTACAGTCATGTACATGAATGATGAGACCCGACTCCATTCCTATGCAATTATGCATGAAATCTACTATCGAGCAGTGTTCAACAGAAGTAGCTCCTACAACGGAACAGTGTCTAATAAAGTTCGACAAACATTGTATATCGTATGTATTCTAAATCAGAATGCTTCTCCCTAGCCAACAGCTCCTCGAACGCACCTATCATCTCCAAATCGCCAATGCTCGATATATATCTGTAATGGCAACATGTACCATAACTATTAATCAATTATAAAGTGATGGGGTAGCTAGAGACTATTATCCACATTCAAATATCATTGCTCCGACGTCACGCTTGCATCATCTCCCTCTTCTCTTTCGACTTCGGTCCATAGCTGCTCCTCGATTTCTTACTAGTTTCCATATCAACCTGATCCAACATCTCGTCCTCTATCAACTCATCTTCTAGAGCCTCCTCATCTGTCTCATTCGAGAGTAACGATCCCTCCATCGCATAGCGTAAATCCTCATCGATCAGGGTTTTCGATGGAAGCTGTCCATCGTAACCCGGGAAGAAAGTGTCCATAATACCGACATTAAATGAGGCGGGAGCGAGAAATGTAGGCGTGTATATTGCACGATGAGGCGAGAGTGCAATGTCGTAACTTTCGGCGTCAGGAGAATGTCCGGCAGTGCGCGCTCGCTCATCCTCCACATCTCCGGGGGTGCTAGATTTTGGCTTGCGCTTCCGTTTGTCCGGAGATAAATCGTACTGATCAAGGAGTTTTGAAAAGTGCTCTTGCTGACTCAAAGTCCTCACACCGATTGTCTTTAAGGCATGCTCGACAGCCTGTTGATTTATCTGGCAGATACGAGGACAGAGGTAAGTTGGCTGGGATGCAGGAATGGAACATTATTTACCTGGTGCAGCGCGCCCTTCCAAACTTTTTTCTGGCCCTTGAGTTCATTAGCCTGTTCCTTCCACACGGTTGCACGATGCATGACATCCGTCGTAAACGCAACCACAGATGCTTGAAGGTACCGTATTAACTCTGGGGAGATGAAGTTGGTGCCAACATCATCCTCTGGGTATTGCTCGAGCGATTTGTATATCCTGTACCACAACGAATGAGAAAACGACAATGAGATTCGCGATCAAGACATACCCCATGAGCTTTCCCAAGCGCCCGAGATGAAAGAGATCCATACCATATTCATTGAGGTAGAATGCATTGATCCTAGCATCTTCAAAATCGGACCTGATTTTCTGGTATCGCTTTTTCCCACCCACGTTAATATGCCTCTTGGTGGTCACCTTTCTCGCATCCCAACGTCATCGTCATCGGATTGGGAATCAGGATAAGTAAGCTCTGGAGTCATTGCATCCCTATTCCCAATTTCTTTCCCGGAGGGAGACACTTCCTCTTTCTTGGTCTCTTCCACCACTTGAGCTGCCTTTTCTTTTCCCTTCCTCCCAGGCTTCATTCTTGCGACGGTCACTGGTACCACATCTTCGCCTCGGAGCTGCGCACGCTTTCGCCGCATGTAAAGTCGCTTTGTATGGCGTCGGCGAGACGTGGGGGAGAGTACTCCCGTGTCCATTCCGGTGTCCAAGTCCTGCGAGATCACATCAGCACTCCCTTCATGGTTTAGACTCTTCCCCTTCCGTGCCTCTTCATCCTCGCGCAGCATTATATCCAAGACTTGCAAATGCACGTCGTCGAGCTTCTTAAACAGATCGTCTCGTTCCCAAGCAGCGATCTTACGCGCGTGCCATTTTTCGAAGCGAGCCTTTCCCTTGACGACCTCAACGCTCATCAAGTCGCTCTCGAAATCATCCATCTCCGAATCCTCACATACCATGGGTTCATCTGTGCCAACTTCGACCGTGACTCGCCTCCGTTTTCCTCTCGGGATCATGTCCGCCTTTGCGTCCCTTACCCTCTTTCTCCTTAGCGCCTCCAGTTGCTGAAGTTCACCGTGATCCTCTTCGATGGTCAGAGCGGCAGCCATGGCCTCTTCTGCGACTATCCACTCATCCGACACTTCGATCGCAGCAGGGGCAGTCGACATGATGTCACCGGTCCCGGTGGCACAAGAACGCGCACACGAATCCAGAGTAATGAGGAACTCTACAATTTCGATCTCGCCTTTGGTCTTTACAGCCTCTGCGATCAAGTCTGGCCGCCAGCGAGAGTGGACCGACAACGCGTGAAAGAATGCGTCTACCTCTGATTGGGACCAAGAAGAGAGTGAGGAACTCCAGATCGTTGGTTTTGATTTGCGTAGTGGTATTTCAGAGCTCTCTTCGACTTGTTCAGGAGAAGAAGGAACGTCATCTTGCTTAGTACTATGTGGAGGGGGCGTAGACTGGGTTGAGGGATCGGGATCGGGGGTGTCATATAAGGGGATAGACCCAGCGAGGTGGGCTTTGGTGTCTCGCAAGTGTGCGCGAAATGATGGAAGGTAACCTATATAGATGTCAGGCGCGTCTGCGAGGCCATGCATGGCTAATCCATTGACATCCTGATGGACCTCTTCATCCTCTGCGTCTGAAACAGGCATTGAAAAACCAGACGACAGAGCAGACAGATCTGTTTATGTTGGTGGTGTCAATAAACCGAAACTGCTTGGAGGTTGCGCACGAGCATTCTACATAAGTAGAGATAGAAATACAAATTAGAACGATGATAGAGCAGTCGGCAGAAACTCGGCGAGTGAGATCACGGTTGTCGGAACTAAAGGCTGAGTTTAGAATTCGTGCCGACCCGCCGATACTGAATTGCATACAGCTAAGTTGAAGCTACTTAGCATACTCCGTCGACTTTCGCTACAATGTCTACAGCACATAGACCGACATGGGATCCTGCCCAAGCTCGCGATGTTAAAGGCGGCTCTCGCCAGTTCTCTGTCCGAGATATGGCTGCACACACAAAGCTCAAATTCCGGTAAGTACTAGTATCCATGTTTACCGTCTTCAAGTTGTGGAGCTTACGATATGATAGGCAAGCTGGACAAACGTCCGTTGGGGATGTCGCACGGAGAGACTTACGCACGGAGCTACTAGCAGCGGAGGAAGAAGCACGGAACAAGAAGCGAAAAGCTGAGGGGAAGCCACCACTACCACTCACAAATGGAAACGCGACGGAGGCAGCGGGGGATGAGGCTAATAAGAGGAGGAAACTATTGGAGGAAGCTTTGGAGCTGGACAAGGACGACGACGATGATGAGGAGAAGGAGGAAGGTGCCGAGTCCAGAGGGCAGGAGAACGGGGAAGAGCAGGACGAGGAAAGGTGAGCATCCCTCCTTGGACTTCATTGGTGCTACTCCTTGACAAAGAAAATTACAGCGAAGAAGAGTCGGATGAGGAAGATGAGACCGCCGAGCTGATGCGTGAGTTGGAGAAGATTAAGAAAGAGCGGGCAGAAGAGAAAGCCCGGCAAGAGCGTGAACAGAACGCGAGTGCTGCGGTGGCACGAGAAGCCGAGATAGCTACCTCGAATCCTCTTCTTAATCTTGCTGCAGCATTAGGCCAGTCACCTGGCATAAATACAACTGTACCTGGGACATTTTCCGTGAAACGGAGATGGGATGATGGTGAGCCCCTGGTTCCTTTACCATTTGTCTTTTACTAACATTGTTCGTTTCAGACTTGATATTTAAGAACCAAGCGGCGAATCAGAAAGACAAATCTGGCCAGTTCGTCAATGACCTGCTACGAACAGAATTCCACAAGTGCGTCCAATATATCTTATTGCTGCGCCGCCTCTGACCGTCTCGAACGCAGAAAATTCATGGCGAAGTTCATCAAGTAAAAGGATTTAGCTATGTAAATTATGACTGCTTTATTGCTAGGCCCTCCATCCTTCGACTCCCGTTCTGACTCCAACTCAAAGCGCTCGAGACATGCATAAAATCATACAACGTTGCTGTCACGTGTGACGAGATGTCAAAGCCATTTCTTGAGGTGCTGCCTCTGTGCACTGTTCAATTCTATCGCAGGATATTGCCATCGTGCCCTACTACGCAAGTTTTACGCACCGTGCTAGTCCACGGGGAGTTGGGGACTGACGCGACCTAGTGCGGCTACGATGAAGAAATCAGACCTTTCTTACGATAGCAACAACGACCTTGTATACATGTGTGCACGTATGTACAACAACACCAAAGGACCGAAATCCATTATGATTCTTGACCAGTCGCCATACCCCAAGTTTTCTTCATCAGCTTAGCAGCAGAACTCGTCGAACCTTCAATCTTGGCAAACCCGACTGTGCCCAACGTCTCTTGATAGTTTCGCAAGTAGGGAGAGTACTGTGTCAAATATCATTGTCAGTCTATGAACATCAGTCTTTCAGAAATACTTGCCGTTCTGCAAAAGTGTCGGTACCAACCCCACGTCTCCCATGTGTTCCATTCGTCTGCGGTCCATGCAACTCGTGTTTGCCAAGCTTGCTCTGTGATCACTGTCTCAGCATGAGGATTTTGGCGCCCTGCAGATGGGGATGGCGCCAAGCACGACACAAAGCCTTCGATTGTTCGTGCCAAAGCTCCTTTTTGCTCGCGGGTGAGGCTGGCGAATGCCTTGAGTGCCACCGTCAACTGGGGGTTCTCTGAGGCGGAGTCATCTGAGACGATCTGGTCAGCACAGAGCAAGCATGATAGCTTGCTGAAGAGCACCTTGCTTGAAAGGCTTCACATCGGCATCCATCTCGATGGATCCAACGTCTGCACCAACACTCGCCTTTACCCGCGCAACGCTATCATCGTGCTCCTTTCTCAGTGCGGCGACCTTCCTCCTCGCTACCATGACTCTCCCATTCGCCTTGTCCAACGCGCCTCTCAACAAGTCCCATTCAAATGCGCTCAGGCTCATCGGTTGCGTTCCACCGAGATGCGCATCCCCTCCAACATTCTCAAACGTCCAACCAACCACGTCTGTGGGGTCGACAATCTGGTACTGCATAAGTTTGTCAAACACAATATTCACCATCTGTCGATTCAGGCGCCAAAATGACGCGACAGCACTGAGAATATCTTGTTTAGACTCTGCATCGGTGCCGGCGAGCCCTCGGAGAAGCGGCAGGTAGCGCTCAATTGCATTGAGGAGATGTGAGAAGGACCGTGAGCCAATAGAAAGCAGGCAATGAATCGAAATCGACCGAATAGTGTTGTCTACGTGTATGTGAGTACCTGAGGACTCGAGAGTGGTCTTCAGCGACTCGATGTGCGACAACACTTCGTTGGCTTTGGAGCGTCCACGCAGAAGAGAAAGGATTGATTGGGCAGTATCATAGTGCGGATGAGCTATAGACGAACGTTAGTGACAAGGATACACGGAGTAAAGGGGCATACTTGGGTCCTCGTATTCAAAGGCCGGTCCTGGAGTCTGATCAGAAATGACGCTCGTGTCGCTTTGCATGGGCTCCGGCAAAGTCTTCAATACTCGGTCATGGTACGACAACCGTATTTCGAACTCCAGTGCTCGACGTATGAAGGTGCGTTTAGGGTGCTGCTCTGACAGCTCCAAGTCGGGCAACCTGCGAGAACATTTCAGCATTCGGCTCATGCAGGATGATTTGCAAAGCGTTGACCATTCTTTCCAAACCCATTGGAAACCGAAATTGCTCATGTGTACCGCGAACCACTCTGCAAAACGTCGGGCGTTTTCCACATCAAACCCGTCCCCAAGAGCAGTGTACAACCTGCGTATTGACTTTCCAACGGCGGGGCCGACAGTTGATGGCGAGAGCTTGCATAGTTCGGTAATCAGGGCAATGTGGTAGACTGTCTTATGCGTCGATTCCGGGAGGAGGTAAAGAGAGCCTAAGACGGTCTAATGGAGTAGGTCAGACAAGACGGATACGGAAACAGGGGCGAACTGGGCTTTACTTCTATGACAGTGCTCTCCAGCTGCCAATTCTTCCCAGATTCGAATTCAGGCTCAGGAGCGCCAGGTTTCGGCTTAAATGTACCAGGAACACACCATTTTGGATACTCGAGGAGGAGACGGGCGCATTCTTTGCGATTGACTTCGAATATGTCAATCGTATCAAGGATTTGGGATCGTACTAGGAATCCAGCGGGCGTGGCAGAGTCGGGGGTCGTCTAAAGTCATGCATGTGAACACATTATTAGTCCTGGGAAAAGGAATACACACATCGTTGTCGAACAGGTGGAAGAAATACTGTGGCCAGTCTTCTTTCTTGACCTGGGCGTCTTCGCCAGCATCTGTAGCCAGCCCATCAAGTTCAATGACTTCAGGCGGTACCAGTATTGCAGGCAACTCGAAAGGGGCGGACACTGTGGGATCTAAATCCGGGAAGTCGAGATAGGGCTGCGGAAAGCTTTCAGATGCTTCTACAAATTCAGAGGAGTCAAGAGATTTCAGCACGACCAGTCCCGTATCAAGGACCTTCACACCAGATTAGTTACACTCTGATATGCAATGAAAAAGCGAACCTCATCAGCGTGCTCCAAAGACCTGGATTCTGTAAACAAACTCATTGCGGGCTGGACAAGTAGCTTGGGTGAGTAGATAGAATCATTATAATTTTGGACGGTCTTGATTATCTCAGTAGTGTTGGAAGATGAACTCTTTGCCATTACAGCACCGCTCTGCGAAAGAGTTACTGGAATGCTCGACATATTACAAAGAAAATGGCGCACGATTATCAGACCCTCAATAGCACAGAGAGCTGCGTTTCTGCCGCGTCCGTAGGAAACACCAAACTCATCGAGGACAGCAGCGAACGACTGGAGGAGTGCAGACATGGATTCGATGGAAATGACTTGAGCCACCGTCAAGTGCGCAAAGAAGTGAATCTGTGCATCACTAATGAGGGGATAGTACACTCTGAGGTCCGGAAACAGCGCTCACACATTGTCGAACATCTCTCCATGCAAGCTTGTCTAGATACCCCTGGAAGCCCTTCCAAAAATCTTCCAGGACCTGTTTGCCAAGAGACGAGCTTGTGGAAGATTCGGCATTTTCACCTTCAGTTGGATCGTGCAAGAGGCGGAGAAGGGCTGCATAGTAGGGAATTTTGTACGGCTGTTCAGTCACACTGAGTCGTCGTTAGCAAAATTCGAGAAGGAAGAAATAATGAATTCACGCTATCCGAATGCCCTCAGATATAACTGACACCGAGAGCGGCACCTGTTCACGGATTTGTTTCGCTAGTCGCGGTAGTTCTTGGATGGGGTCCTGAAACAACCATTCATGAGCGTCAGTGAAAACAACATTTGGTACGAGATTGGACTTACCACTTCTCCCAGTTTTATAATTGTATTCTTGAGTATCTGCTCAGGGGATTCGAAGGATTCCCTTCGCCTGTCGTGCGCATCATAATCGTCTGGCACATATTGGTTCAAGTTGTTTGTTCATGCGCAACATGCCTCACCTTTGTAGCGTCGACGATTTCCGCCCCCACGATGAGGTCTGTCGTAGTGTGGTCTATCGAAGCTCATGTTTCAGCCAAAAATTAGCAACTGTTCTGCGATTCTTTGGACGTCGCCGTCTGGTAAGTTAGACGCTGACCTTCGAATTTTATTTCTTCCAAATTTCCCAAGTAGTGCAATTGTCACGTGAATCGGACGTTGCCTTTCTTGGTTATAACCTTCAAAACCTTCTACGACGAGGAACATCAAGGTGACGCTGAGTACCAACAACGTTGGCCGCAAGACTCAGCCAAATTTTTGCGAAAAGGCCACGGATTAATCTGAAATTACTTAGCCAATCGAGACCACTGCCTTTGGGCAAGCTGGTGAGTGTTGAAGCATCATGTGCATAGGATGTCTGACTTAAATATGCTGGTAGGCATGAGAGACACATGCAATGGATTTGGTCACAAGCCGCCTATAGCATTCGACCTCATACCAGCCATGCGGCCCTCCCTGTGAGAGGATTGACCTCTTGCATTCGTCCCCCGTCAAAGGTTGTTCAACCTTATCGACCATATTCACCCCTGCATAGACCATTTTCACTTTCTTGCAAATATTTTTCTCCACCGCAAGCACATCTACTTCCGCGCTCCTCCTATAATGATACCCAGGAGGCTGGTGACCCTGCGTCCCCACCTTCGCCTGCAACAGCTTCCGAAATATCCCTTGCCGCAGCCCGTGCCGTCCGAATGTCTTGCGCGAATGGTGCTATTACCGACGCGTCGTTCATAGTCAACTCTCTGCGCCGTTCCAACCTTTCTCCGCAGCCTTCTGCTGATAAGGGCGGGGGGTTACTCATACCAAAGCTTGACTACAAACCTATCGACTTTGGTCAACCCGTCTCACCAGCTCTGTCTGCCCATTGTTTATTGCACCATTTCGTACGCCAACGCATGTCGTTGAGAGCACGTCGACTTGCAGAGCAGCTCATGCAAGACGGAATTCATATCCGTGCTTCCACACTGCACGCAGTTATCCAGTGTCAAACGGAACGAGCCAACGATGGCAAATTCTTACAGGCTCGAAGACCCTCACAGCGAGACCCATTGTGTATCAAACCGAAGCAGGTCGAAGACCAAGGCACGCGTCTCGCTCTTAAGCTTCTTCTCCATGCACGACAGCATCGACAACGCTGTTATGAGAATACCTACCAGTTCATGATCAATATTTGTCTCGTTCAGGGCGAAATTATCGTCGCGTCGCTGCTGTTCGTACTGCTGGTCAAAGACTGGGAGATGAAGCGAGCAGCCACCCAAGTACGAGAACAGGAGGCAGCATGGACTCAGGCGCTTCCAACTCATCATGGACATGGATCACTACACGGCAGGCCTCCTTCAAAACGCATGCTGAAGATAATACTCTCCAAGGCGCAGAAAGAAATCATGCTTGATCCAGCAGAGGAATCTAATCGGCCACGACGTGAAGCAGCTCTTCAAGCGCTCTGTAATATTGCCAGCCTTCTTGATGCACGGTCACTTCCTTACACGGATGTATCCTCTGTAATGCGCACCCTTTATTCAGTACCCAAAGATCCAGACAAAGTATGGGTTACAGAGTTCGGCAAGGGAGCCTGGGTACAACCTTACGAGTATACCCATCGTGTTATTCTGCGACTGGCAAGCGACCTCTCAAGTTCGTCCAAAGGCGCCCGCCCAGAACAATTTGGCATCATGCCTCCGCTTAACCTTGAGTCCTACAACGCCCTCCTACACTATGCATTGCGCCATCGACAATCCATTTCTCTTGCAAAAAGACTGCTATATCACATGGAACACAAGCGCAATCCACCTCTAAGGCCAGACATCACAACATACAACGTGATTATCAGGTCCGGTTCATTGTTGAGGCGGAACGACCTGACTGAGTCCGCCCTCGAACGACTACGTGGGCTCACGGAGAACAATCGACATGCTATTATAGTACAGCCGCCACCATCATTGGTAGTCGCTCCTAATCGGCCGGATGTAAACAGAGCAGAGTCCAAGTGGGCTGTCACCTTGGAACATCAGAAGGCTGGACTACCAGCCTTGGAGAAACCACTTAAGGCCAACGCGTTCACGCTCACGAGCTACATCCAACATCTCACAGCCACAGGGAACCCCGTCGTCGTCGCCGACATCCTTTTCCATGTTCTCCCCGAGCTGTCCATCATTGATCACCCATCGTGGGGCTCTGTTACGGACGAACAACTGGCTCTTATACGGATGCAAAACCGCCAGATGCGTCTCGTGCGCGCTATCTCCCTCGGACCGTGGTTTTTCATCGCTGTCCTCAATGCTCTTAGCAAGGCTGGGAAAACAGGGCTCGCGGAGCGCGTGTGGTTGCTTGCAAAGCAAGCCGAGCGTGCAAGCTTGACGGGTGTTATTGGAACTGATGGCAACCCTATGAAGCCTTGGTGCTTGCCCATTCAAGCGTATACGATAATGCTGCAATGTTATGGCGCTGAAGCGCGACGCGGTCTTGAGCTGCGCTACACCTCCAGGCCGACAGATGACTGGGCTCCCAAGATCGGTGGTAATATTGTGCGAGGTTGGGCGAGTTATGTACTTGCTCAAAATGCGGCTGCTCGCAAACACAGATCCCGTCGCACTCTTGCGTTACTCATGGGTGCAACGCTGTATCGAATCATGTGTCATGCTGGAATGGCTGTATGGAATTGCTGGTCTGAACTGCAGAATGTGGATAAAGCTACTCTCGATCCTCCTCGCCCAGACGCACGTTTCTTCAATGCTGCCCTTGATATGTTCGGTCGGCAACCTAGGACTTTCCAGCGGTCAAGCCGTACTAACCCTGCGCACTGGCGACGCAAGGTCACCCTTGGAAACGTCCAGTTCTCTAGGTTAGGCGTGAGGCCCAGAAACTGGAATCCCTTCCTAGCGAGAATTGTGAAGGAAATGCATGCTCTTGGATTCAAAGTTCCTTCAGGCTTCAGACGCTTTTTCGTCGGGCAGTGGCCTTATGGCTTCGAGGAGTATCGACATCGGCCTGAGCTTAATGAGCAGCCATTTGCATTCCCAAAGTTGCGTAGGTCTCCTTTCCGACCGCACGCACTACGGACACTGAAGACGCGCGGTCTACCTGTTCGGCGGACGATATGGAGGGCGCTTGGTAGGAGGTATTGGTGGAAGCACAGATGGAGACGAAAGTTAGAGAGTGGAGGAAAAGTACGATAAATGTGTATAATATCTATCTGCCCACAACTAGGAACTATGCATTTCCTTGTCATGACGGCGTTTTTTGGAACGACATGACAGTAGTAGTTTTCTGAACGTCGCGTGTTTTCCACTCCTTTGCAATGTCTAGTAGCATTGACGCGATCTCCGATGCGCGAGCTGCCATTTCATCGGGCTTGGGCAATTTCTGACCTTTCCTCGGTGCAATAACGATATCCACTCGGTATCCCTTCTCCAGCTCCAGACGTGCTTTTGTGATCTTGTGCTTCAAATCTCCATTATCGACGCCCCAAGTGATCTGTATCTCCTTCTGCTCTCCCGCCTTCACGCCCTTCCTGAACGCCTTCTTCTGCTCCTTCCACTTCTGGTACGAGTCGCGTCTGTCCACAATCTTTACGATAGGTTCTGGCTCTTCCGTGACCAACTCCACTCGAAAAGCCTTCAGGTCCACAGATTCGAGAACGTCAGATAGACGAGTAGGGGGTTCGAGTTTGCCCGTTTCCGGATGGACGAGGCGGACGACCCGAAAGGGTATTTTATCATCGCCAGTACGGCGTGCTGGACCAGCCGAGGCATACGTCCGCACAAAGGAGAAATTTGAAGACCAGAGAGACTTGAGCACTTCAACCTTGTGACATGGAGGTAGTATTCGGTGACACGAGAGTGTCAATGTCTGAAATACAGCAGAAGTGAACATGACACCTATGTGCCATAAAACTTATTAGTGCTGAGATATCATGCACGGAAGCACCCAAACGCTCACCTAGGCCTCAATGTTGTTTCCGAGTCAGCGTCTAGATTCTAAATCGGTAAATGCTTTCAATCTGAGCTAGCGGTTGTTTGTCCCTATTGAATGTTAAAGTCTTTGCACAACAAGAACAAATATACTCGCCTTTTAACGATTTTTTTCTGGTTGATCTCATTTGATCTCTCATGCACCGATCGAATCGATACTGGTGAGTAGGCTTTTTTTTGCCTGGATTTGTTTCATGTGAAGAGGGCATCGACATGATGATACCCTACCTTCCACGAGCGCAGGGACTTACAATCCAGTCCCTTCATCGCCTAGCAGGTGGGCTCGTATTGAGGCTGCCTGCATATACAGGTGCAGGAGTGGGCGCTTCTGCGCAGTGATACGTGAGGTTATAGTTATTTGATCGATGCTTCTCATATCTTTGTTGATTGATGTTAAGCTGTATCGCTGATCATTGCTTCCTGCTTTCACAGATGTATGCCAACTTGTGTAACTGTTACTGCCAGTGATCTGTCAATATTGTGCGCCTTTACTACGTGGGTGTCATTTTTATCCAAGTCACCCGGTAGGATGAATCTTATATCACGGGAGCATAGGGATGCAGAAGCATCCAGTCAGTCTTTTGCTCTGTGCTTCCCCTCGTTTTGAGGAGAGGTGCAAATGGGCGAGGGAGAGACGTTCTATGCCGAGACCTCTATTGCAGTTATAGTTATTTTGACCGACTTCTTTTTTTGTGTGAACAAGTTGTTCCGTATGCTGACTACTATCATTCATGCAGGTCTGGGGTGGTAGTGTGATGCGCTCGATTCACGTACAGTATATGATTGTCATGCGAAGTGTGTACTCTATCTCATGAATGACAATACAAATACTGGTAGTGAATCTAAACATCGGATGATGTTCGCAGCAAAGGCCACAGTGGCATGATACTTGGGCCTCCTTTTTCTATACGATGTCAGACAAGCGCAACTTGAGAAGGGCGAGTGATCCCATCTTGTTGAATTCAAATGTCAATTCAAGTTAGCAGGGCGCCATTCACCGCTCATGGACGGTTCCTTGGAGGTTTATCTCAACTTAGGAAGCGTTGGACGGCCAAAGTGATTACTGCAACAAAATCGAAATCTCAATATTTAGTCAAAACGAATTCTTCCTCAGGTCGTCCTCTTCCATGGGATGGTGAAAGCTGCGATTCTGGAGATGAAAAATGACTCTGGAGGAAGTTACTTTTTCTAATAGCGAGGTGACGCGCCGTTTATTAGCTAAGATAATTTTGTGGATTCAATCCTCCCCGGTAGTCATGTCTCGTCTTTTTGCTTCCCTTCGCGTCGCAGATGTCCGTAACAACCATGCAAGGTTCTCATATACAACAAAAGTAACGCAAGTTCCAGGAAGAACGCGTACGAGGTTGGTTCCCATCCCACGATAGAACCCACGAATCCCTTCGCCTTGCCAAGTGCGTTTGATGGTGGTCGGTATGTCAGGGTATAAGTGAGCAGTGGCATTGTTCTAAAAACGGGATGAAGATGTGATGTATTGAACAAGAATCGTCTCACCTGTATTCGAGAACGAATGACTTGATATGGATAAGTAAGTGCAAGAGCCCAGAGCTTGCTAGCACCAGACATTAGTGTGTAAGACGTGTTTGACTGGCCAATGTCTTTAACGTCAGGCAAAGAAAAGGGTGATGAACTCACGAGCTTATCGTCCTCCGGCCCCATCACCTTTCCGGCCTTTGCAAACCGTTTTCGTTTTTGTTCGAAACCCCATCGTTTCATCTCTTCGTATGCCATGAACTGCGCCGCGCCGTTGCCCACACCAATCAAAGCCAAACTAGTCCCTTTCCATAGGCCAGAAAAACCCTCTTGCCTCCATATTGAAGCAATGCCGTCTGGTATGACGCGGTATATTTAACAAACCAAACCGGAGACAAGAAGGCGAGCGTACCTGAGAGGCTACGATATGACGTCGGTGAATCGGCACGCGTCGTAAACATACGCACTTTCACAACCCATATGGGGTTGGTCATTATAGCTGTAACAGCGCCTAATAAAATCCAAGTTGAGAGACCATCATAAAAACAAAAGGGAATGGAAGGGCGAACTCGCTTGAGCGGAACAAAGTAGGTATGCTCCGGGGGACATCCTATAATTTAGGTCATCTCCGGATGCACGCTTCTTCAACATGTTGTAGCTGAGAGCATATCAGTACCCTGCAAAGAAATTTCGAAACTGATGAAATGTTACTCACAAAAGAAAGTAGAGCCCCCAACTCGACGCGTTTCCCGCAATATTTGGTCCTACGCCTCGGTACAGTCCTTTCCACCCTTCACTTGCATGTATGTCACGCAAAGAGTTCCATATTGCTTTTCCAATTCCACCCTGCGGGCTTTTTGTAGCTACCTGTAGCTTGACTTTGAGAAGATCAAGAGGGTGCATGCATAGGACGGCGACGACGCCTGCTCCGAGGCCTGCTGCTGCATGGTCCTACGACCGTTAAGCGGAGATAAATGGAAAGTCAAGGATTAAAACATACTAGTGCAGTTGTCGGAAAGAAGCTTGGCTGATGTAGAGACATGCAGCTGTGACTGCACCGTCAGCTGCTGAGATGACTTGAGAGTTGGATGACTGACTACCTTAACGGACATGACCGGTATTGTTCCGGCTATTGCAGGCTGAACTTGAATTTGATTGACTCGATGATTGTCTGCTACCACCAAGTAAGCACTTTGTATTTCATCTCGGAGACCTTCATGATATTCACAGAAAAAAGTATTGTCCAATCATGGATCCATGAACCCGTTATATCATTTTCTCGCCGGTGTTGCCTTCTAGATGTGACGAGACGCAGGATTCTATTGGACACCAAATTGCAGGCCAAGTATCTATTCTCAGTGCCATCATCTTGACCTTAGTTTTACTACTTCTATTTGCTCATGATGTGTGGTCATGATGATTGCACCCTGAATTTCCAATACAGCCATCATTTACACTTATATACTGTGCTCTCGGACGTCTGCTCTCAAGGACCACTCCTCGGTCTCCTTGTAACGACCTTGCAACGACAATCAATGATAGGCGTGCCTGTACAATCTGCCTCGTAGTCTTATCGGTGGCTGCTATACTTGTCCAAGCGCCTCTTATCCAACTCGGTCTTTTCGGGTTTTGTTGACTGCATAGTACAAAAGACAAAGCAGCGGGTATGTTCCTTCGCAGTGTGCCTCGATCTGCGATACTATAAACCATACTGTGAGTTGCATCCCTCGCTTTTCCCGTGTTGATTAGTACTAACTCTCGTCTAGGAATGTCCTATAATCGTATGCTGCGCTGAGCCCTTTGAAATAAGCTACTGCAACTGTCTTGTGTGTGTTGGCACTGCGCTGAATGCTACAGGTTATACACAAGCATAAGTTAATCTAGACCGTAAGCTCAGCTTCGCATAAAGCATATCAGAGTCAATTGCCTGATCTGCATGCCAGGACTCTCTTACCAGGATCATGGATATACGTATACACTCCAAGAACTTACTCTCTCCGGTCAAAACCCGTCCCGCACCCTTTCAACTTCTTTGCTTGTTGGTTCTGCATTCACACCTACTTCTGCGAGCACTGTACCAGTGCCTTCAATAACAGCGACTTCAACGCCTACAAGCGCTGCGCTAGGGTCAGGCATAGGAGGAGGTGGAGACTGGGATTTGGCTGCTGCTATGGGATTGGTCGTGCTCTAAACGAAACAATCGATTGGGAAAACTCCTGTGTCATTTTTCTTTGATTTTATTTGATCAGCACTCAAACATCCTTACTATCTAGTTGACAATCGCGGATATCTACAGGCGGTATACGATGTACAAACTGTGCGAGTTGCTCGTGTTCTCCGTGAACTGCTGGTTCTCGCCCACGTACGCCTTGCTCAGTAAAGAGGTAGAAAGCGCCTGTGGCATGCATCTGGGTTAAGGCATAACTCAGGTAGCTATGGTAACATCACAAAAGAAAAGGCTATGCTGTTAAAATCGGACCTTCTTTGCTTCTATCAATGGGTTATCTGCCAGCCGATTAGAATGCCGGGAACGTGGACCATATACGCACATGATGCAAGCATGATTGCAGCCTGACGCTAGCATCCAAGTCTGCCGACGTCGTATACACCACCTGCTCTCAAGGGTCACCAGTCACTCCTCGGGCTCCCTTTAACGACCTTGTACCAACAGTCAACAATGCATGCCTCTGTGATCTGCCTCGTAGTCCTATCAATAGCTGCTACCCTTGCCTCATCTCGTCCAGGCGCTTCTTACCTGACCCAGTCTTTCCGGGAGCTGTCGAGTCTGTCGTACAAAAGACAAAGCAGCTCCATTCCTTCACAGTGCACCTCAACCTGCGACCCTGTACAAAGTGAATCGAGCATCGTGAGCGGCATCCCTCGCCTTGCCCGTGTTGATTAGTGCTAACTTTCATCCAGGGATGGCCTATCACCGCATGCTGCACCCAGTCCTTTGAAACGACCTACTACAACTGCCTCTTATGCGCTGGCACTGCATATAATACTACAGATTACACACAGGCACAAACCGATCTAGACCGTAAGTTCAGCTTCACACACATCTGAATCAATTTCCTGACCAATATATACACTAGAACTCTACGTCGCTTGCGTCGATTACGGCTATTCACTCCAAGAGCTCACTTTCCCTGGTCAAAACCCATCCCGCACTCTCTCAACTTCTTCCCGTGCTGGAACTTCTACCGTTGCCGGTACTTCACCTGCGTCCGTGTCGGTACCTACCATCTTACAGACCACTATACTGCCTTCAAGTACTTCGCCCGCCTCCTCTGGGAAGTTGACCTCTGCCAGCAGCACTGCGACTTCGTCCACGTCCACGCCTGCAACCTCAGGTGCTGCGCTGGGGCTAGCAAGGGCAGGAGGAAGCGGAGTGTGGGCTTTGGTTACTGCTGCTATAGGATTGATCGTGCTGCGGAATAGCTGATTGGAAGAACTGTTGTATGATTTTTCTGTGATTCAAATATTGTTGGTGCTCGTCAACATAGGACTGGTGCGTAACCGCGGCTCAGGGCTCAGGCAGCTATACTCACACACATAAATATTATTTGCATCATATAAAATAAGTAAAACAGTTGATGTAACCGTGACGTTGTCCCGCCTAGTTGTACAGTACTACTTTGCCTTATGGTGTCACTCGAGAAGTTTTTGGACAGATTGGCTATGTAAAAGTGACTTCTGCTGATGCACAGAAGCTCCTTGGCTGGTAGGTGTGTTACGTGGGCGACTCGGAGAACACAAGAGAGCTTCTCGTAAAGCTTGTGCATTGTATACCTCTGGGCCATACTATTATCAATTAAATAATAAAGATGGTTGAGAGCGCTGATCTAAGAAAATCCAAGAAAAACAATACAGGGGTTTTTCCGGTCGGTTGTTCCGCTCCTCTAGGGCACGACCAATCCTCAGCTCAGATTCTGCCTCCTCCTGCGTCTAGCCCCAGTGCAGCGCTTGTAAGCGTTGTTGTTCCAGATGAGGCGAGTCGCTTGAAGGCAGTACAGTGCAGATGTGGCACGCATCCGAGGCTATGGCTCAAGCACTGAGCAGTTATAATGGTTGTATTGATAGCATTACAAAAGCAAGGGCTATGCTAAATCGTGACCTTCTTCGCTTCTCTCAACAGGTGCATCTGCCAGCAGATTAGAATGCCGGGAACGTGGACCATATCCGTACATGATGCATGATGCCCACATGATTGCAGCCTGACGCTAGCATCCAAGTCTGCCGGCGTCGTATACACCATCTGCTCTCAAGGGTCGCCGGTCACCGGTCACTCCTCGGTCTCCCTTTAACAACCTTGTAACAACAATCAACGATGCGTGCTGCTGTAATCTGCCTCGTAGCCTTATCAATGGCTGCTACCCTTGTCTCATCTCGTCCAAGCGCTTCATACCTGACCCAGTCTTTCCAGGCGCTGTTGAGTCCGTTGTACGAAAGACAAAGCAGCTCCGTTCCTTCGCAGTGTACCTCAACTTGCGATCCTATCCAAAATGAAGAGAACGCTGTGAGCCGCATCCTTCGCCTTGCCAATGTTGATTAGTACTAACTTCCATCCAGGGATACCCTATGACTGCATGCTGCACCCAGTCCTTTGAAACAAGTTACTACAACTGCCTCTTGTGCGTTGGCACTGCAGTGAATGCTACAGATTATACACGGGCACAAGCCAATCTAGACCGTGAGCACAGCTTCACATGAGTAAAGCACAGAGCCTGAGTTAATCGCTTGATCAATATATATACTAGAACTCTACATCTCTTGCTACGATCACGGCTATTCACTCAAAGGACGCACCCTCCCTGATCAAGATCTATCCCGCACTTACTCAACTTCTTCCCGTGCTACTAGTAAAACTTCTACCGTTGCCGGTACTTCACCTACGTCCGTGTCGATACTTACATCAGTATCGGCACCTACGTCCACCTCAGAGACCACTATACTGCCTTCGGGTGCGTCGTCCGCCTCCTCTGGGATGTCGACCTCTGCCAATGGTACTGCAACTTCACCCTCGTCCACGCCTAATACTGGGTCAAGTGCTGCGCTGGGGCTAAGCGTAGGAGGAAGCGGAGTCTGTGCTTTGGTTGCTGCTGCTATCGGATTGATCGTGTTGTTGGAAAACTGATTGGGAAAACTACTGTATTTTTTTTCTGTGATTCATATATTGTTGGTACTCGCCAACATAGGACTGGTGCGTAACCGCGGCTCAGGCAGCTATGTAAAAGGGACTTCTGCTGATGCACAGGAGCTCCTACCTCCTTACTTGGCTGGCAGGTGTATTACGTGGGCGACTCGGAGAACACAAGAGAAGCTCGTACAGTTTGTACATTGTATACCTCTGGGCCATGGATACTATCCCTTCCACCGCAATCGGCACCCACAGAAGTCGGCGGTGACGCAAATGTCACGACATGTGACATAGGCTAGTTTCAAAGTCAGCTCGGCAGTCGCGGGGTCAGTTAGTATTCAGCGTGAGTGATGCATCGATGAGATGTGTCTATTACTCTAAGTACAAGGGTGACCATTGTTAGCACTCTGTAGTTGTGGGATTGAGGTGGATGGGGGAGAACATGTACGCTGAGGTTGTCTATGTAAGTGCGATGATGGTGTAATGGGACCGCCGAATGGACTATCTGCATTGTAGGGCATGCGGCAGTGGCTGAATTTTTCGAATGTGTTTTTCCCGTCTGGAAGAGTTCAGAAAGTTTAATAATTAGCAAAGTGCTGATTTTCGGTGTCAGCAAGAAACTCTTTGATTCTCGCCCTGATTTCCTCGACCGTCCCATCTCTCGAAATCTGCCACACTCGCGAATGCGGACCAGCCCCATGACCAGCACAGTCAGCACTTCCAAAGTGGGTGTGTGCAGTTTGAAAATCCGTCACGGCACAAATCGGCAAGTGACATTTCTGCGTGACTTCAGCGTTTTCAACTATCACACTCAATTTTGGTTCAATCATGGTCATTCAACCTCGGAATGATAGGAGAGAGAACATCTATGCTAAGAATTTTGTGTCGAAATACGAGTTTCGTGAAGGCGCTGACTTCTGTGGGGCGCCGATTGCAGCGGAAGGGATAGTATCCACGATTGTCAACTAGATTTAATGCAAAGAGCGCTGATCTAAGAAAATGATACAGGGAGTTTCCCGGGCGGTTGTTCCGCTCTCCAGAGCACGACCAATCCTATAGTCGCAGCAGGCAAAGCTGAGACTCTGCCTCCTCCTGTGCCTAGTCCCAGTGCAGCGCTTGTAGGCGTTGGTGTGTCAGGGGAGGCGAGTCGCTTGAAGGCAGTACAGTGCAGATGTGGCACGCATCCGAGGCTATGGCACAACTCAAACAGTTATTAGGATTGCACGCGGCCACCGCACCCGTACCCGCACACACCGTACCCGCTACAGTACGAGTGTACACCGACCCGCCAATTCTACGGGTGTGAACGGTGTTTGCAGTATACCGCGGTTTTTTCACAGACCTGCGGGTCGTATAGTATTTTCGAGTCCTGGAGACGGCGACACCTCCGATGCTCATCTACGTTGTTGTGCTGCGCAAGAGAAGAAGTGGCAAACATGACCATTCACGTTCTGAACAGCAACATGATTGGTATCAAAAAATCCATACAGGTGAACGCCAATTCTTCCTGAGTTTTTCTGTATTGAATTGGTAAGGTACCGACATGGCATAGTAGTGTCAGCAGAAGTCTTGCGAAGTTCCACATCCAGGTCCTCTTCATTGTCAGACTTCGTCAGCGTGTCAATGGGATTGACACCAATTACCGATGATTTGGGTGATGATGACGGCGATATCGAAGACAATTTTGACAAGTATGATTGGATGGAAGACTCGTCAACCTTCTTTAAGCAGCACATAGTCCACTCATAACCAGTGCAGTCGATTGTCAATCCGAATCAACATTGCTACTCGATAAACCTGCGGTTGATACTTCGAGAGTATGGGTGGATGTAGATTTGATGTTTTGAAAACTAGTGACAGCTCCGACTCGGGAGGTTCTTGAAAAGTTGACCCTCGCATCCTCGGACAAGCTGAGGGCTCTACACCGCAAACCGCCACGGGTGAGCACGGTACCTGTAATGCGCGCGGGTGGGCCATAATTCACACCTACGGTACCCGTACCTGTGCTCTACCCTAGGTCCCTAACAGTTATGATACATTACAAAAGCAATGGCTATGCTGCTAAATCGTGACCTTATTCGCTTCTAGTATAGCTATCAATAAGTCATCTGCCAGCAGAATATTAGAATGCCGGGAACGTAAACCATGTGCGCACATGATACACGATACAGGAGGCATGATCATCATGATTGCAGCCTGACGCTAACATCTGCCGGCATTTTTGCACTTATATACTGTGCTCCCGAGCATGAGATGGTATTCCCTCTCCCAAAGAGCCCTTCTCGATCTTCGTGATACAACCTTGTAACGACAATCAACGATGCATGCCTCTGTAATCTACCTCGCAGTCCTATCAATGGCTGCTACCTTTGTCTCATCTCGTCCAGGCGCTTCTCATCTGACCCAGTCTTTCCGGGCGTTGTCGAGTCCGTCGTACAGAAGACAAAGCAGCTCCATTCCTTCACAGTGCACCTCAACCTGCGACACTGTACAAAGTGAAGAGAGCGTCGTGAGTGGCATCCCTTGCCTTGCCCGTGTTGACTAGTGCTAACTTCAATCGTCCAGGGATGTCCTATCACTGCATGCTGCACCCAGTCCTTTGAAACGACCTACTACAACTGCCTCTTATGCGTTGGTACTGCAGATAATGTTACAGATTACACACAGGCACAAACCGATCTAGACGGTAAGCTCAGCTTCACACACATCTGGATCAATCTCCTGACCAATATACACACTAGAACTATACGTCGCTTGCGTCGATTACGGCTATTCACTCCAAGAGCTCACTTTCCCTGGTCAAAACCCATCCCGCACTCTCTCAACTACTTCCCGTGCTGAAACCTCTACCGTTACCGGCACTTCACCTGCGTCCGTGTCGGTACCTACCATCTCACAGATCACTATATTGCCTTCAAGTACTTCGCCCGCCTCCTCTGGGACGTCGACCTCTGCCAGCGGCACTGCGACTTCGTCCACGTCCACGCCTGCAACCTCAGGTGCTGCGCTGGGGCTAGTGAGCGCAGGAGGAAGCGGAGTATGGGCTTTGGTTACTGCTGCTATAGGATTGATCGTGTTGCGCAATAGCTGATTGGAAGAACTGCTGTATAATTTTCCTGTGATTCATATATTCGGTGCTCGTCAACATAAGGCTGGTTCGCAACCGCGCGGCTCAGGCAGCTACATAAGTACTAGATGTCATTGGTTCACATAGTACTAGCATTATGTAATAAGTACAACACGTTACAGGTTGTCTTGCCCTGTTGTACAGTAGTGGTACTCGGAATAAATCTTGAAACTCCTTGAAAACTCGCCTAAAGCTCGGCTACTTCAACAAAACACAGCATGAGCATGTGCTGCAATTGAAAGTCAGGCCGGCATCGCACATCGGAGTTCGAAAAACATGCCTGTTGTTCACCAACGTGCTCGCCGGTCTGCACGACTTAGAGCCAACGCTCATCCATGCGCGAGGGCGATGGACCATCTGCCATCCACCTGATCAGCGGCGCCTCGCCCTTACCGGCAAACGGCCTGTCCACCTTCCGCCTCCTTATCTGTCTCCATGGAGGCACCCTTACGTTGGAGATGGAGTCATCGGACACCATCAACAACGTGAAGGCGAAGATCCAGGACAAGGAGGGCATCCCAACTGACCAGCAGCATCTCACCTTCACTGGAAAGCAGCTCGAAGATGGCCGTACTCTCAGTGACTACAACATCCAGAAGGAGTCCGCCCTTCACTTGATCTTGCGTCTCCGCAGAGGCACGCAGATCTTCCTCCCGACGCTTTTCATCCCCCCCCACTGCTCAGCATCCCTCCCTCCTCCACTCGGCACTTATTTGGTCCCTCCCGCGCTCCCTACCCACAGCTGATTTCATTCCCGCAGGCCTTGTTTTTTTTACAATTTTATTAATGCTTTCATTTGAAATACAATTATGTTGGACCGCTACTCTACCACTTTCCCCTATGTACATAGCACGCTTTGAAAAATCACAAGTGTCGTTTTAAAGTCCGACTACATGCCGACGTGTGCCGAGCACATTTCTCTCGGACTTGCGCGAGTTCTTTCAAACTTTAAGCGGGGAGTTGAAGGGAGTTGAACGCAGTTTAGCGAGTTTTCAAGAGTTTCAAAATTTATTTTGAGTGCCACTAGTTACGTGACTTTGCTTTACGGCGTCCGAGAAGTTTTTTTGGGAATTGGCTGTGTATGTAAATGTGACTTCTGCTGATGGCCCTGTGAATCTCACTCACGTCGTTCAATGTTGAATATATGCATTTATGCGCAGCTCCACCGCCCAACCAAGCCTTCATACTGATTATTTGTGGCATACCCCAAAGATGACGATAATTGTAGATGAAGATGACCGGTTAACACTGACAGCTCTGTTAGGACCATTCACTTCTACTAGATCTCGAGACATACAGTACCGAGCATCTGCATGTTATCTCTGAGATGCTCGAGGATTCCGGTTGAGGGGAAGCATATCGACGCCTACGGTATGTTTCGCATTTTTGTTGAACTAAAAGAGTTTGGCTCCGATAGTTTTTGCGATGCGTGCCCTGAACACAAGTCATCAAGTGCCTCCAGACTGGTGACGGCCGCGTGTCTGCATGCTTTTACTTGCTACTCCCTCGTTTGTGCTTGCTTGTGCACTGGTCTGCGCCTGCCACCGCCACTTATTCGTGCATGTTCGAGGTGTCCTCGGTACGTGGCGACGTCTCAAGTCTTCGCTTTGATACAGCATAGTGAACAATGTCGACGACTCACCTTGTCGTCCAACACTTTAATACTTCAAGGTTCTCGGCCTCCTGCAACACGACTGAACCGGGCCGTGGCAGCACTACGAGTCAGAGTCGGAGCCGCTGAGGTTCTATGATGATATTCCGTGATTTGCGAATGTGGCCTCAGCAATAAAATGGCTAAAATAACGAGCTCCAGCGAGTCGATTTGGCAAGAGGGTTGAGACTTGCTGGAGCTCTCTCTGACCCTTGTAACCGTTCACTGGGGGTATTTGCCAGCAGATTGGAATGTCAGGAGCGTGAACCATATGCGCGCATGACGTATGATCACCATGATTGCAACCTGACGCTGGCATCTGCTGGCATCTTTGCACTTTTATACTGTGCTACCGGGTTCATGTGGTCTTCCCCCTCCCAAGGAGCCCTTCTCGATCTTCATGGTACGGCTTTGTAACGATAGTCAACGATGCGTGCCACCATAATCTGCCTCGTAATCTTATCAGCAGCTACTACCTTTATCTTATCTCGTTCAAGCGCTTCTTACCTGACCCAGTATCTTTGGGTGCCGTCGAGTTCTTCATACAAAAGACAAAGCAACTCCATTCTTTTACAATACATCTCAACATGCGATCCTGTCCAAAATGAGTTAAATGCTGTGAGCTTGCATCCTTGACCTTGTCCATGTTGATGTGCTAACTCTCGTCCAGGGATGTCCTATGACCACATGCTGCACCCAGTCCTTTGAAACAAGTTACTACAAGTGCCTCTTATGCGTTGGCATTGCAGATAATGCTCCAGATTATACACAGGCACAAGCCGATCTAGACCGTAAGCTCAGCTTCACATGAGTAAAGCACATCTGATTCTTAAGTCAATCGCTTAATCAATATATACACTAGAGCTCTACCTCTCTTGTTACGATTCACTCCAAGAGCTCACTTTTCCTGGTCAAAACTCGTCTCGCACCCTTCCAACTTCTTCCCGTGATGGAACCCCTACCGTTGCCGGTACTTCACCTGCGTCTGTGTCGGTACCTACATTAGTGTTTGCACTTAGATCAGTGCTGGCATCTACACCACTATCGTCGCCTACATCAGCATCGTCACTTGCATCAACATCGTCACCTGCACCATCATCGTCTCCTGCATCACTGTCGTCGCCTGCATCACCGATGACCCCTGCATCAACGTCGTCAACTACATCAGTGTCGGCACCTGCGTGCATCTCGGATCCCATTACACTACCTTCAAGTGCTTCGCCCACCTTCTCGAGGATGCCGACCCCTGCCAAAGGCACGACGTTTTCTTCCACGTCCACGCTTACAACTTCAAGTGCTGCGCCGGGGCTAAACCCAGGAGGAAGCGGAGCCGGGCTTCTGCCTCCATAGGATTGAACGTGCTTTAGAGAAGCGGGACAGAACATTGACCGGGGACACTGCTGTATTATTTTTATTGCTAGATCGGCACTCGCGGACGTCTTTCCACCTAGTAGATTTGTACAGGTGTTATGCAATGTACAACTTGTGTGAACTTCTCGCCGACATAACACGCCCGACTGAGTGAGGGCAGGGTACAAAACCCCTGTGGTACGCAACCGGCACAGCTATAGGACATCAATCCAAAACCAAAGACCCCATGAACATAAATAGTATTATACAGCAGATGCTCAGCGCCCAGCATGAGAATATTCACAGCCGGGCATTCTTAGGCATCCTCCTAATAGCCTGCCGCACACCAAGGTCCCCCAGTACATCTTCCGCACCCGCAAGAATAGCATCGAAAGGTGACGTGCGATGATACTTGGCATAACATCCGTTAGCATCGTATCGCTAAGGAAGAGCGGAAGTCCGAACATACATTCTCAATAACCTTGCCCATACCCGTGACGGTGATACCGCGACCACCGAAAGTCTGAGTTGCGTCCTCGGCGGTTTCACGACCAGCCTTTGAAACGAATCTACATCACAGTCCATCAATTCAGCACCGGAACGATGGAAGCAGGACATTGCATACTGTTTGAGCAATGCAATAGGCCCCGCGAGTTTGTCAGATTGTTCATGATAGGACATCTAATTTTCGAGTTTAGGGTAATATCAATCAGAGAACCTGGAAACCAACGTTGTTCATTTGATAGGTGATGTTCTCTACCCATGCTTGGCAGGCTTCCACGCGAGAAATCATTGACGCAAGTTTTGCGCGAATAACTGCCTGAGCATGAAGAGGTTTTCCAAAGGCAATTCGCTGGTTCGTCCACCTTGAAAATTGCACTGTCAGAAGACTTAGAGAGTAACTTGTAATACGCCCTAACTTCAAACACTCTTCAACCACAAGTCTTTGCGCACCAAGACTCGTGGCAGTGACCATCCACCGTTCATGATTAAAGTTGCTCAGGATAATCGACATGCCTTTCCCGACTTGACCCAAGGTATTGGCAACCGGCACGCGTGCCTTATCAAATGTGATATAGGCAGTCCCAGCGGTCGAAGAGTATGACGTTTTCACCGGTCTGGTGGAAACAGCATCCGAGCGCTCAACGAGCAAAACAACAAACCCGGCCTGTAATAGTGATGAGAACGAAGAAGGGGACTAACAAAACAGTAAACGCACGTCTGTTTTACATAGTGTTGTGAAGTAATCTGAAAAGGTCCCATTTGTTATCCACCTGCAACGACTGTGGGTGATCCGTTCTTGGAGTAGCTCAAACCATGCATACGTACTTCTTAGTTCCAGTAACAATCCACTCGTCACCGTCTCTCACTGCAACAGTTTGCGCGCCGCTAACGTCACTGCCTGCAAACGCTTCTGAGACAGCAAGAGAAATATACTTCTTACCAGCCAGAATGTCTGGTACGAACTTGGCCTGCTGCTCCGGGGTTCCGAAATTAAGAATGGGAGGGAGGGAAATAACCCCGCCATTCAGGAGGCCGTCCACAAATGCTCGTGTACCAAACCGCGCAATTTCAGTGTTGAGAATGAGCTATAAAGTCATGTGAGTAGGTAAAGAGGATGCTCGGTGAACAGCATGTTTACTTCATGGAAGTAGTCGTATTCTTCAGGTTTCACGATGCCACCCATTAAGGTAAGTCCCTTGAGGTGCTTGCCTGGTCCCAGGCGCATAGCCAGGAAATTTATCTCGCTGTAGCATCATCAATAACAGACTTACACAAGCTTCACGCGGGAGAGCTTACCTTAATTTATCCACAACTTCTTGCGATATCCTCTTCCCATTTTCCTCGCATCTGACTGCCTCAGGTTGTACAACTTCCATCAAGAACGCCCTCATAGCCTTGTGGAATTTGCGGTGGTTGTCACTATAGTAAGGGCTGAAGTATCCAGGTGTGAGCCACGTGGGCTCAGCATAGGGCACAAGAGACAGTTCTCCAGGACCAAGAGGCTTGATTGTTTCGGTCTGCCCGCGAATGGCTCCTATTTGGAGACGCGCGTACTGAGCACGTTGGAGAACCTCAAGTCTGTGAAGTCCAAAGAACACCTGAGTAGCATCCTTCCCAGCTAGGATCAATATGAACATGAGAGTCGAGTCGGGAAGTCGTTGTACTTGCCTACGCCGTTGGCATACAGCACACCTGCGCCTCCCGGGTGAAGATCTGCGAAGCGGGATAGGTCATAAACTTTGGAGTCTATGACAATCCACTGTAGATAATTAATAACAGATTGATAGACTTAAATTTATCGCACGCACGAGATCTCCTTCCTTGTTATGCTGTAAACGTATTCAGCGTCCGCTAGAATATAAAGCTAGAGCTGCCTGTGCTCACCTGAGCGATATCATCAAGCGTGAACTCTTTAGAAGGCATAATACTTCTGGCAACCTTGCTTTCCTCGATACTGATACTGGTCCGGATTTAAGAGGCTCGTTTGAACTCGGCTAGACGGTAAGAGGAATTTCACATAGTTGACTCAATGAACAAGCTTGCTTTGCGACGGTTTGCCACGGATTAAGGCCGTGAGAGTTATAGCGATCGATTGAATGTTGAACTTTGCACCACACAGTCGTGCCTAGAACTCAACTTAAGTTTGTATTTATGAACGATTGTAAAGCTCATTGATCATCGATCATCGAGGACCAGCTCCATGAGGTAATGAACATAGTCGAGCTTCAGTTTTCTACGGCCAGTGAACTCACTCCGGTCGGCGTAGAGCTTTCGGACTCGGGAGGCAAAGATCCCGGATACGCTGCTCGTGATAGTACCTCGTACAGGCAGATGCGGCAGCTATTTTGACGTCGGGCGATTTCGATTGACCAGTAGATCCTTGTGCGTAGTCTGACATCGTGCAGTTGTTTGAAAATCGTCCCAAGTGAGTGCCAAGTAAGAAGCACGCAGCTATGATGAACATGATATACTTCCCTTGCCAGGTATTGATATTTTACTCCGTTGTCCCCGACTGCCACAATGTTAGTGCTGGGGGAAGACTCTGTCGAACACAAAACGAATCCCCATATGTGCAAAGCTCAGCGTGCCCTATTCTTCCCGGCTTTGTCCGGTTTCCCAACCTGGTTACAATTTGTCTCCTTCAAGAAGCATGCCCCTTTACTAGTTCGACACACCGTTAGTGGCATCGCTCGGGCTGCGCTGGTTGCAAATGCTTGTGCGTATATGTGTGCGCTGACTCGCGATTTACTTCCTTACGGCCTACTGTTTCAGTGTATGAGACTTCACATTCCTTCGTTCACAGACTATCAAATAGCTAGGTTCTAGGTGGGTACATCGCTGTGCAATATCCCTTCACTCGAATCTGATCATCCCGGTCATGCGTGTGGTACAAATTTAGGTTCAGAATGAGCTGGCGCCAGACCTAGCAGATCGGCGTTAGTAAGTGACGGCCAGCGAAATGCAGTATGTCATTTGGCTTCATTTGCGTGCCAGCGATGTGGGTCTTGTATCATTCGCAGGATGCTATTGAAGGCGTGATTCAGATCAGGCTTATCTTGAATGAGTCGGGTCCTATGACACGTTCGTCATCTCGATGCGTCAGTCTATCAAGACAGCCAGACAAATGTGACAGGTACCCAGTTCCCTATCCATTCCACCTTTCATTTGAAGGACGGAGTCCTCCGATATGTGTATCATTTCCAAGTGAGATCCTTAAGTTGATGTGCACTGCCATTGCATCTTACCAGAATCAGCTTGGCATCCGACCAGAAGTGTATGTCTTCAGTAGTGCATTTATCCTATCGTCTAAGCTGCATCTGAGCAGTAAACTTCGGGACACTTACAAAAACAAGCCAAGCTGATACAGTAAATATTATGCTCGTCTTGAAGGCGAAAATAAGAAGGTGATCTGGAATACACAAACCCAAGTATCAAATACTGGTCAGGTTATAATCGCGTTTCCTCGATTGAGGATCTATAGGGCATCCCTGACGCACTGTAAAGTACTGAGGCTGGATGGAGTGTTGGTCAAGATATCTTCTGGCGATATAGTGAGGCACTTGCTCTTTCTCCCCGTCTTGTGGCGTTTATAATACTTCTCCGGGATACAGAGCTCCTGGAAGGGCAATTTTTCATCTACTCGTCAAGAACTGCAATGATTTCCAGGTAGCCCCCTTTTCATACCATTTACAGCCATTTGCTGAATCGTCCCCACTGCAGGGACTGCAAATGATACACAATATACCCACCTTTGGAGGTTTCTTGCATACTTTCCTGACTTCCTTCTGCGACGAGTTTCTCAAGGCTTCTACACCAAACCTTAGTTTCATTTCCCCGAATCAAGAGTGAATGCGCTTTGAATCACGTAGATGGCACATAAACGCTTGAAAATGGTTTCTTGACATGGAGAATGGTGCATTGTGCTTGCAAAGCCTCCATCAGCTCTTGAATTAAACCATCCCGATGGTCTACGTTTGGAAAGTAACCTATCGCAGGGACTTGCCTATGATGTTCGTCTCCTGCAAAACTCTACATATGATTTCCTGACGGAACATTGCAGAAAGACAGCTTGTGTCATACGACTGCAGTCATCTCGTCGCCGGCAGAGACTGCTGCGCTGCCACTGAGGTATGCTATTCCCTTCGACAGGCAACGAATATATCATCACCTGATCCCCCAGACTTAAAGGCAGTCGAGAGGACATTACAATGCCACTTGAACTGGTGGAAATGTTCTCGATTGGGACAACTCCTGTGACAGAGGCAACGTTCACCGATCTCTACCGCAACTTCTAGATTGGTTCGTCAAATAAGGTGGAGATCATGTTGATGCCTTGATCGCACAAGCCGAACCCATCCATGATGTGGGGTCAGTATCCATGCACCTACTTATTCCGTGTCGACATCTTTTACGACCATGTTCTGGCATACTAAACCAACGTCGATAAGGGTGACTTCATCGCCTGTCACAGCACCTTCTACATCGATCCCGCTTACAGGGTATGCTATGTTTGCGGAACAAAGTTGAACAAGCTGCAAGGGCGCGAAGGAGTGGTGATGAGCTTATGAGGATGGGCCTGGAGTGTGATGGCGCGAAAGAGCATTGCGGGAGACCGTCGATGGGTGCGGGAATGACAGGATGGATGA